ACTTATAGAAAAGAGTGCCTCTTCATTCTTTCTTAGAGTGGGAGATCCATGACCTGCGCCGATTCTATCCATTCGTACCAATTCACGTCCATGTCGAGCTCCATGTTCACATCTACCTCTGTAAATATACCAGCTGAGGGGTCAATTTCGCTCCATGTAGGTGACATATCATTTGCCTTTACACCTGGACTATGGCGATACCACTCACTTGAGACGGGATTAACCCCGTCCTGTGATAGATATGAAGATTGTTCTATTCCTGTTTGACTTCGAGGATATACTGACTGGTCATCCAGATTTGATGATTTTTGCCCGGAAAAATTACTATCGTTAGTGTTCAGATTCGAGGAAGAGTCGTTGTGTTCGTACACCGATGTGGAATCAAGGCGCCGTTGAGTTGTAGGTGGGTCACTAGCAGTTGATTCTGGGGTATGCATCCCAGAAGGCCGTCTCTGATCCTCCATCTCTAGAGGTATTGCAACCAGCTTACGCCAACGCTCGCGGAAAACATTATCGGACTTTCCATCATAAGATGGTACTGGACTGGTTGGAAGCGGTATTTTCTCATCTTCTCTCTCTAGTTCAATGGCTGACCATGAATTCTCTCGCAGACGTTGTAGCTCAGCTACCCGATGTTTACGCGTCTTAGCCATAAGTTTCCGTAGCGGGACCCAAATGCGCGAGTTCTCGTCTCTTTCCGAAGTGTTAGTTAATTGCCGAGGAATTAACCATTTACTGTGAAGAGCGACCCAAGCTCGCTCGATAATGGGAGACCATTGGCGTCGAGAAGTTTCAATTAAGAGGTACACGATTGCGTGCCAATGCGTACAAGTCTGAAAAAGCCAATTCCAATTTTGACAATCCTTCTCGGAGTTAAGGGCATGGTTGTACTCGGCTACCTCAATGGCAGATATTAGGAGTTTTGTTCGAACTTTCTCAGAATGTTTCTCGCTGGGAGAGGAGAAGAGCACTGGGAGGTTAAGAATAAGATTCATTTTGGACACAACCATACGCGTTAAAGTTGATAGACACCAGGACGCAATGGTCTTACTCCCCATGTTGAATTGAAGAAAGTGTTTGTCGACTGTCCCGTAAAGTTCATGTAACAATCGGCTTTGAATTTCGGGACTTGACGGACTTTCTCCGATGCTTGAAGCCATCAACCGTCTCATAACATCACACATCTCGGCTGAAACAACAGTGAGAGTCATATCGGTTACACTTGAACGCGCTGGTGGCATATTCTGTGTATGAGGATTGAGGTCGACATCATTAATATTGAGTGGAAACTTTGTGTCAACACTATTACCAGTAGTACTCAGTTCCGTACCTTGATCCTCGGATGCTCGCAAATCCAGCAAACATACCGTCCACCATACTCTCCTACGAGTTTCAATCTCATAGGGGGTAAGGTTAGGAAAGTGAGAACCATCCCGATGAAGACCTAGAGCTTGAGCCATCCTTATGACCAGGCCAGTCATCATCCAGACAAATCTAGGACTCTCGTGACGCCGGACCAGAAAAAGAAAGATGAGTAGGGCTTTGACAAGGGTTATATCAGGCTCACTGAGGAAATCAGCTTTTGCAAGTGAATTTTCCAGACCCAGTCGATATTTGAAACTTAACTCCGATTTTGTACATCCGAAGTTGCTTATGACCTACGAGTAAGACAATTTCGTAAGCACAATAATTGAGACAAAGCCTCATTGAACTAGAAAACGCTTACCTCGTCTTCTTCCATCGAGGTTACGGTAGCATAATAGATGGAAAACATTAAAGCTTCATTTGTTGGCGTAAGTTCCTTGCCCTTATTTCCACGTAATTCACGGATCATGTCGGTGATGGCCGGAATGTCTACAATTCGCATGAATACGTGTATGTTTTCACAGTATACGTTCAGCAGAAAAGGTATCTGTGACGGCAATGGACGCAACTTAAAGAGGTCGGAATCAGAAAGGTTTATATTGTGTTTGAATAAAAAACCATGCCGCTCCGATGGTGTCCGCTCATGCTCCAATGTGGATGCCGTCCTCTCGGGTACATCCTCATTGTTTGAAAATATATCAGAATCAGCGTCGATGGCACCTCGAGTCTCCATTTGTAATCCCTCAATCTACTCTGGCGTCAATGATAGTAACTCATCAATGCATATAGCGGACATGATAAGAGAACTTTAACAAACCTACCTCATCATTCATTCGGGCCCAGAAACCACTACTTATGTAACGACTCCGGTTGACATCCTTTAGAACTAGCCTACCGAATTTCTTCTGCACATCAGAAGTATTTTCGACAGAGACGTTATCTTTGAAACTGTTTGAATCATGATTTAGATCGAGGGGTGAACTGTCAGAACCACCAAGTCCAAGCAACCCATCATCATTGGAATGCCCTGCTGTAGCATTGGCGTGCTCCAATTGGCCTCTTAGCTCCTTTACCAAATTTTCAAGATTATGAAGTCTCTCAATAATTGGATCGCCCTTGGAATTAACTTCTTGCCCTGGCTTTGCGCCATTTGACTCTGCTGCCGAGTTACCAGAGCGCTCGAGCCGGCGAGCCCATCGAGGAGGTCGATCAGTTGAGGGGAGTACGCATGGGATATTTGCTCTCCGGCAATTAGAACACGGTGACAACTTATCACAACGAACTTTTCGACTTCTGCATATTACACAGCTACGTAGTTTTACTGATGTAGCTGTTGTCTTGTCAGAAGTTGGAGTCGAGGAGGCCATATCCCGTGACTGCATGAGATCGCATGAGATCCGAGATATTTACAGTTCGAGGGTATTAGTGTAGCCTTTGTGAATAAATCCGTGATTTATTGTGCCATTTCTTCAAAGCTCATATCTAGTCTCTACGAAATATAGGGGTGAGAGATTTGATTTTGAACATTGATCGGACCAGAAGTTTTGTTTCATCAGGAATGGAGAAGTCCCATGTACCTAGTAGGTAAGCAGAGATAGGACGATCGATACGCGCCATGACCGTGGCAAGGTCATAGCATTAGATGCCACGTGAGGCATGCCGATAAAAAACCAACAACAATTACCATGACGAACTCAACTCTATGCTCGTCGCCCAACAAATCGAAGATATTTCATGGCAGTACCCTTGACCTCCTATCTCTGTTCGCATATATCATGTTCTCATCACTCGGAATGGTCGCAACCGGACTTCTGACAGCCATTTGACGATGAAAATCGCGATAACAATATCTCCTGAGGCCGTTGTATACACAGACTTCAAGTATGGTCTGAAGGTTTTACGTCACTGTTTACTCTCGTGGGAGCTAAAGGCAGGATGATCACAAAAGAGACAGGAGCACAACACAAGATCTCCTGCATTCTTTTCTATGCGATGAAGGAAGAAAGTAAGTCGACTTCATTCCACTCTTTACGGCCATTCATTTACATGTTGCTTTGCTGCCCCTGTCTGAAAGGTCTGTACGAGATGTGACAAATAATGGTCAATGTATGGAGAATCCAAAGATGTGTCCCTTTCATAACGAAGTTCAGCGCTACTTGCACTAATTCAGCCCTTTGGCCGTTGCAATAGCGCGAATCAGATCTCGTTGACAGATATCAACCAATTAACTTTTTACTTCTGTGATCAATGTTTCAATTCTACATCATTCTGATATAATTTGCGAAACAAGGCTTTCTATGCTTCAGCACAGCCGTTAGGAGGCCATCTCGGCATTGAGCATTTTGATACCAGGGCCACTTCATGGACTTAATTATTTAGCGTAGTACCAAAGAGTAGCTTCGAGAGGAGGTGTTGCTTCAAATGTAATGCACTTGAGCTTGTGATATTACATTGCAAGTACCCGGATTTTCGTCATCTCATGATTCGTGCTTAATTTGGTCATCGGGTCCAACCAGGAAGACACATAATATTTCCACCAAAAGCAATTAGAGATATGCGAGGAGGCAGTCTTTGTCAAGTTCTATGCTCTGATACCTGTGACGATACATTGGTATCTTTTTCGCTGTCACGAACTATCCATCAAATAGAACTGGGATGATGCCGAATATTTCCAAAAATATCAAGCTGGGGTAATACAATACTGCATGATGATCGATACGGAGTAGTTCCTGAGACCAGAGAAAGCGGGAGGAACCATGTTCTTATGTGTTTCGTAAGACCTCGGGATGAACCTTTGATTTGTTGTCAGACAAAGATGCCTTAAATGCAACCTCCACGTACCTCAGAAAGAGAGGAGGCAATTCAGAACAAGTGGTTAAGAATTAGTGGATGGCTTGCTGGTGGGTCTGTTTTAGCGTGGCAGTATCACAATAAAAATTCTGAATGTGATATACATACTAGTACCATACTAGTAAGTAGATATATGAAATGGTATCCAAAGATTCCTAAACACACGGAAAAAGTTGGAGAAACCCTTGTAGTATCCGGGAAAGCAGAGGCTGGTACTCATACTTACTAAGGGCCAAAACAACTGTTGTTTTCCATACATACTATTGAAAGATAAAAAAGTAAAGACAGTACAATTCACTTCCGGCATGTCTCATTAGGATGTAAAAGAGGAGCGCCTGAAATAGCGGTGAAGCGGCAAGGCCCTCATACAGTCAAGCAACCTTCAATATCCCAATATTTCTATGGTTGATATGCTTATCAGATCCATGGCTTTATGTTTTGCTTTTTGTAAGCTTACACTTGCCTGCACAGGGTTTAAGTTAAATTTGAAGATCAGTGTGGGGGCTTGGCGTCCCACCGTCATTACAGACATTCCCTGTGAAAGAAGTATATCTTCAATGGTTTCACATAGTTGTGGTTGACTCGTTAGTGCTACACGTCGTATTGAATATCCAGCTGATACGTGTCCGACATACCCGATGCTATGCAATGCGCTCTTGACTGGTCAGTGACATCACATAATCTAGTACCTCGTGTATATCAAACTTGGAATAAATTATCTCAACTCCCTTAAACCATCCCAGTTATCAAATCCCAGTACAAATCAACTCATCAAGCTTTCAATCATGACTACCCAACGCCGCAATCAAATCCTCTTGAGCACTCCTCGCACGGCCTCCAATCTCTTGATTACAATCCTCAATCTCGAAAATCAACCAAACATCTACACAACCGAGGCATCCAAACACGGCTATTTCTTCCTCGAGAGCCACCACACCCGAGACTATCTCTTCGCCGCCGATTCGCCACATATGAAAGATTGGACGCAAGAAGATAGAAAGAAATCTCTTGCAGCCCATCAATCCTGCTTCGAAACTCTGCGTGATCATGCTATTGCCGCGGAATCGGAAGGGAAATTCGCTTATGTTAAAGAACATGCGTCTTGGCTCATAAATCCTGTTGCACTGACGAAATTCATTTACGATGATGAAGTTGGGGAAGAGGGATGGACTGTGAAAGCTTATGACAGTCAAACACGTTCCATCGGCAATGACACGCTTCTACCAGATGAATTCTTGAAGGAATGGATGCCAACATTTTTAATTCGCCATCCTGCATTGGTTATCCCTTCATTACTCAGAGCTCGTCATGATGTGGAAGGATTAGAATTTGCGAAAAGGGAGTGGAAATTTCGGAAATTGCAAATGACTATGAAATGGTCGAGGGATTTGTACGATTGGTATTGTTCTCAAGGTACTGAGGAGCCAATCGTTTTGGATGCTGATGATATCATGACGAATCGTGACATCATGGTTAAATATGCAAAAATGATAGGAGCAGATCCTACGAGATTGAAGTTTTCGTGGGACATGGAGTCGACCGAGCAAGACTGGGGAGAATTAGCGGCTGTTTGGAAAAGAATGAGATCTACGTTGCAATCTTCTTCTGGGATTTTGGAAGGAAAAACTTCGTCTGGGCTAGTTGTTGAAAAAGAGGTGGAGAAGTGGAAAGAAGAATTTGGAAGTGAGATTGCGGGGAATTTGGAGACTTGGGTAAAAGATGCCATGCCGCATTATGAACATATGAGAGCCAAGCGGCTTACTTAAAGTATACAGAATTGTCTCTTTCACGCGTATGCATAGCACCTGTTTGGTACAACGGCGAAGTCTATAACTGGGGAAAGGCACCATGCATTGGAGCTGTCATTGGTGTGCAAGAACTCATTGAATAATTAATATATTTCTCCTTTCTACCTTCAGCCTGATATCTTCTTGGTTATGTACATATGCAGCTTTTTGAAAAACGCTACAAGCAGGGGAACCTGGAACATCTGAACAATATGTGGAAGCTATTTCTAAGGAATTTGACCATTAAAGTGCCTTTTGAAGCAAGTTGTCAAATATTGCATGTACACTGTATGATAGGGGCCATGAAGCCACTTACGGCACTGATGCCACATACGAAATGCTTATACCCCCCTTTTAGCGAAGGTCGAAATCAATCCGGATGCCATACTTATTGCCTTTATGCTCGACGATGAGCGATCAATGGGCACGCTCCGCGGGTGAGTTATGAGTGTGAATAAATGTGGCATCTTTAAGCTGATATTTCAGTCCTGTGCATGGTATTCATATTCTGATTAAAGATTTAGTATGTTCTCTTTCTCAGTTCGAAGGACCTGGCAACATAAGCCCTTTCTTCATCTCAAACGCACCAAATTTCTTCAAATCCGTTTTCCGCTTTTCATCGTGTGATTTATACACTGTTTCAGCTAACAGCAGTATTCAAAGATCGCCACAAACGATAACATGAACAATACTGCTGGATCCTACGCACTAATTGGGGCCAAAGTGCCTGCAGATTCAACCATCGCGAGGAAACTTCGAGAAGCTGGAGCCATTATCCTAGGAAAGACAAATCCCAGTCAATGGGGTCATTTCAGATCATTCAATATTAGTAACGGCTGGTCAGCTCGTGGTGGACAAACTTATGGTCCATATTATCCCCGGCAAGATCCCTCTGGTAGCTCGAGTGGTAGCGCGGTGGCAGCGACGTAAGTGATACTTCTAGAGATAAGCAAAAGCTGATCTTTCAAGACTGGGATTAGCAACGGTTTGCTTGGGCGCGGAAACTAGTGGTTCAATCATAGCACCTTCTCATTACAACAACATCGTTGGCATGAAGCCAAGTGTGTGCAATTCTGATCATAGTTTTGACTTTTTACTGAACTGTCACAGCTGTACCGTATGGAGCCGATAGGGATTTTGTCAATGCGTGCAATTTTTCGGCTCTCAAAGGTGCTCGATTGGGCATTCCTCGAGATGTGATTTCACTCATGTCAAATAACCGTACGGGATCAATGCTTGAGGCTTTCAATAAATCTTTGGCGATTCTACGATCAGCTGGCGCTATTATTCTCGAGGACACCGATTTTCCAGCTGCACAAGAATCCATCGATAATGGTTTACTAACCGTTCAAATTGTAGAAGCGGATTTTGTTGTGGCCGTGGAGAAATATCTAAATACACTAGTGTACAATCCTCACAACATAACAGACTTAGCCGATCTACGCGAGTGGACTCAATTTAGCCCAATAGAGGACTATCCAAAAAAACCTACGGATGTTTGGGATGCCGCACTACAGAACTGGAATAACACCGATTATGAATTTTGGCGTGCTTACCAACGGGCCCTATACTGGGGCAATCAAGGAGGCTTATTGGGGGTAATCGACCGATACAAACTCGACGCTGTTATTTTACCGTCTTTGTTCTCTTGGAGCTGGGCTGCTGTTGTTGGCGCGCCTGTTATCTCGATTCCGATGGGAGCAATGCCGTCGGATCAGCCTATGGTATCTGATGCTGATGGATCAGTATCTGCGGGACCTAATATTCCGTAAGTTATTTGATTTGTGGGGCGCAATCAATTATTGACGACAGATCTAGATTCGGCTTCAGTTTCTTGGTAGCAAGATTTACGGATACAAAACTCATTGGGTTAGCATATGCCTTTGAGCAAAAAACAATGAAAAGGAGAACGGTACATCCGTATATTAAGCCGGGAACCGATCTTTTAGATGTGGTTGGGATGCATGGCAGTTAGAGACAATTCTAGTAAAGGCTCTTGTAATCAATTCTGAGCAGGGCGATTGAATTCCGGACACTGTAACATTACGCTCGTTGCCAAAATCACCTGTCAATTATCCATACACGGCTTCCATAGATGTATATGCGAGTGAAACAGAACTATACTTGCTCGTGGACCTTTCAGTCCTTCAATAATTTCTCAAATCCTCGATATCCCTTACTTTAATTCTCATTTACAGCGGTGATTTGGACCAGCTCTCAGATCTTTGGCCGGATTTGTACGTGAACCATATAGGAACTTTCAATGTCCGATCTCTTGGGTCGTTAGATCAGGTACGGAATCCTAGTCCACGCTCGAGTCTCTACTGATAATCTACAGCTGTAATGATGATGAAACAGTCCGACTTTACTGTTATTGCGTATAGTTGCTGCAATATTGAGAAAATACTGAGAATCTGTGCTAGCCATCTCCGTATATTCCAAGTCTCGGTCGTCCAGATTGTCTTGAACGATCCAGAAATAGTCAATCCAAACGTAATATATTCCCAAATTCAAGGTAAATATCACAGCATCTTAGACCATCTGTGGTGAAGAAACGACAGTAACTTCTCGTTTCATAACCTTGAAGTTCGTCTTGGTTGTTGTGATTGACATGTATTCCCCCCAATAATGGCTCAAAGTCATGTACTTCGTTTGGCTGCTCCGGGAAATTCTAGTAAAAGTGAGGTCGATCCGGCCAACGTCAATCAATCACAACTCCGGAACTGAATGTGAGGACGATTGAGCATGGGTTCACATCCGTTAAGTACTGCACTGATAAGATTGTCGCCATTGAAAAAACACACCAGACGTTCCTGGGGTGCTGGCCGTTGTTAAATTTATTCATGAGCATTTGATACATTCTGTTTTAGGGCGAATCTTATCGTCGGGAAGACTATTGCGGCTATCCTTCTCGTCACATTCATCAATCGACTTCCAGCTGGAAGTACAGCAGTAAGTATCATGTACGCTCATTCTTGAACCTTCATTGAAGTGATGATATAGATTCATCTGAATGACAAGGAAAGATGAAATCATGGAAGCAAACTGGTATAGTAAGCGGTGCTATACCGGGGCTTAGCGGGATGCTTTGTTAGCATAATTCCTTGTACAGTAAAATACAATGAAGTGTTTGTCTGTTTCCTCGAAATTGAAAGCATTAGACACTTCTTTTTACTGGTATATATACAGAACGATTCTTTGAGAACAGGAAACTCGTCCGGCGTTTATGTATCTCACGTGAAAAATCATGTGCCGGAGGGAGGTCAACGGGCGTTGGAGTCATCTCACGCAGAACTTTTGTTTGGAGTCAGCGTCAAGCGCGCGATTTTAGGTATCAGATACCTATTAAAATGCATCAAAGAAAAGCCGTTTCAAGCCCTTCTAGATAAAAACCCTTTACAATTCGTATTATATAAACTTTCGAAATAAGTAGTCCACATACTGGAAAAGAAGTCCTTAATTATTACCCAAACTATCCCCAGTAACTCCCACACCTTCTCTTCCAACCTTCTCCCAAAATCTCCTCAGCCCCAAAACCTTCGCCCTTGCCGGAATTTCCCTACGTTCAATCTTCTTACCCCACGTCCCTCTCCCTGCAGCGCCCTCACCCCTATCCACATCCCTCCCAGCAAACCTCCTAACTAACCACCTTACTTCCACCTTCCCTTCCCTCGTCCCTTCGATCTCTCTCTCTTTTTCTCCCACCCTTCCCCTCCATCCCTCCACCCACGCCCTCAGTCCATCTTTAACTCTTTCCCTCTCCACCTTTCTCTTGATCCCCACTAGCCCCGGTGCTACTTTTCCTTTCCCGTATCCATAGCATTCTTTGGGCAACACATTTTTCTCCACTAACGTCTCGATCGAAGGTCTTTGCCCGAGTTGTCTATTCAATTTTATTTTGATAAGATTCCTCCCCAGACTTCGGGCAGCAAGTGAAGTCCGGGTAATGTATATTCGTTGACTCATGAGATCTGTAAGAGGAGCTCGATGGGACAGACGTCGGGATAGGGCGTTGGACGCATCATGAAGACGCTGTGCATGGAGGAGGGGATCGAGCGAAAGAGTTCGGAGGTGATGAGATAGCTGGGGGCACACTTATTAATTATGGTTCACGGCGTCATGAGGAATGATAGTTTGAGGGGCTTGGAACAATTGGATAAATATTACAACTTACTCGTGAAGCAATCAACAAGTCATTGACGTCTAGATATGATAAGATTTCGAGAATCAACTCGTCGGGAAACTGCGATAAGCTGACCTTCCCGATATCGTTATCGCTTTTGATCTCGTATCGCAGCGCATTTTCTTTTGCGGTAGCTCTTTCATCATTCTGCGAAGCTAACTCCATGATATTGTGAATGAAACAATATATCCAGCTGCTGATTTGTGATTAATTGATAAGAAAATGAATCGAATGAATGTCGATTTTAGTGGGATTCCGTCGTCGTCAGGAAATAGCGGGGGTCCATCAAGCTGCTGCAGATGCAGTCACGGTTCGGCGGCATCTGAGACATTCCGAGACAAAAGAATGAACGTTTCTGATAAACAAACAAGCGCAATTTCACTTGATTGACGACAACTTTCTTTTTTGCTTGTAAAGATGCTCGTAAGTTAAAAGAAATGATGAGATATCTTCTTTGTTGAAATCTTCACATCGAAAGTTTCTTACCAAGTTGAGCTTGAAAATGGGGAGGGGGTTTTGTTCGAGTTTCCGAGCTTTCTTGCTCAAGCCCCTTCATTTGCCTCCGCTTAAGCACATCTGCGTGCTGTGAGGACTAATAATTGATGAAAGAAAGTAGGTAACAAAATTCTATTTTGAGGTCAAAATATATTGTCATTCTCTGCCCCCCTCATGCATTCAATAATACGATACATATGTAAAGATGATCACCTCAAAAATGTAACCTCTCCTTGAATCATGCTACCCTTCCTCTTTTCTCGAATTGCTATTGATGTCAACCTTTACTCGAGCGACAGCGAACGATCATCACCACCACTCGTCATCGCCCATCACACCCATGTTCAACACGCAAATTTATTCCTGAGACCCCAACACGACCTTTTATTTTCACACTACACGTCTCTCAGCCTCTCATCTCCCAAAAATCAACACCTCCGGCAACACCAAAAAGCAAAAATCAACCACATGATAACCCCCCTTCGCGTCCCACAAACCGACCTTTCTCGCTCTTAGAGCCGCAACCATCTTCCTTCCACCTTCTATCCCCACATATAGCATATCAGGTAAGGCGCAACTTATCGGTAACTAACAACCCTACAAACTAGACCGACCTGCCGACCCGCCAACGCACCTTCAACACCAGCAAACCACAACCAACCAGCTCCTCTTCACCAGCCCTGCTTACAAGATTAATAGACTATCCCCAAATCAACTCTATCTCCGATCATCTATCGTGCCCCGTGCGTGAAAATCATGGGTTGTTAGGTACAAAGTAGGTACCATGTTCTACTACAAAACGTGTATATCATATCCCCATACATACTGTTCATGTAAGGTGGAGGCGTGTACATGCTGTCAAGCTACTATACGTAGGTACGGTACATCATACTCGTGTCATTATGGGGCATGTATCTCAAATGACAGGGCAATCCACTTATCTAACCCAAAATCTTTTGTGTCGTTGAGGTCATCGCGAACTTCAATAAAATCTAGTATGCATAGTACAATGATCAATAGATCGATCAGAGAATAAGGCGTTCTTGTGATGATAGTGACCCGAGTACAATACAGTGCATTACAGTACAATCAATTTTCAATCGCTCATTCAATCTGTCATGTAATCATCGATCTTATTTGCGATTTTTGTCCTAACCCACCCAGCTCAAAATTTCAATCTGAACCTACCCAACAACTTCTCCGTCATCCCAAAAATGCCCAACACTTTGGAAGCGACCTCTCACCTCGCTATTCATGCAATCAACCTTCTCTCTCTCTCTCCTTTCTCCGTCCAATACAAACACACAACATCAATCAATCAATCAATCAATCAATCAATCATTGTAAGGCGACAAGTCAAGATCTTTTAAACTTTCCAAGGCCCGACCACAAGGTCTGGTCTCGACCCCATCCATCACGGTACCACCACCACTCCCTCGCCCAACCAAAATCTCCGTAGCCCACATACTTGCCACCGGCTCCGTACCGGCCCGAGTTTAGCATCGCAGCTTATGTTTGCAAAACTATCCATTCCTTAAGATCAACCGGTGCTTGCTAACTCCTAACTAAACTTTTCACGCCTCATATTTATCTCTCCTAGACCGTATTGTAGACCCAAAATTCTCCCGCATTTACATACATGTTTGATATACTTTTCATCGTAACAACTCGATCCGAGGTCTTGTATACCAAGACGCAGGAATACATGTGCATCTATCCAGTGTCCATCTACCCACCTCTCTATCTGAATCTTACCAATTTTTTGCGAGTCAGTCATACAGAAATCGTTGACCAAGCAAATCACGCCGATGCAAACGCACTGTAACTCCATTTTGGCAAATGTAAGGTGTCCATAATTCACTCACCTATCTATCCATAGGCTACTTGATCAATTGGTCCATCCATCGGTCAAGGACATCATGCCCGAACATCCAAGATCCGCACACTTACATTATACGTGTGTTGAATATATTACGGTTATCAGAAGGTGGTGTGGTAGTGCATGCATAGAATGCCCGTCCGTTACGATGTCGTGATTCTAGCTTTCCATTACTTCGTACATCAAATGTGAAGATCAAAAGAAGGCAGACTTGACCCGACATGTAGCGACCCCAAAGATGACCAACATATGCAGTGTAGCTTGCTGCACACGTTGAGTGAATGACACCCTCTCTCATGTTATTTCTTTGCTAGTATCTATTTCTGTTTTCACATACACACCTCTACACATTCTTCACTCTGAATCTCAGCTCGTAAACTTGGTCCACCATGTCATGACAGATATACAGGTCGCGTAAGAGGCTGACTCAACTATTGATTCGAGAAGCAAGCCAGCATCCATTCGCACGTTGCAACTTATCTGACCACCTTCAAAGAAAATACTACTTGCAATCAAGTAAGCACTATCACACATCATACATTCGCTGCTTAATTAACTAGCTTGTTAATTGACCTATAGAATTTGGGTTTCTAAAGTCTTCCATACAGAACCCCTCATAGCCAATAATTCAGGAACCGCCTCTCCCGCGAAGCTCCATCCAATCAAATTCTTCAATTCACCTCATGCCCAGCTTTTCCCGGTATAAAATACCAATTGACTTCACTGGAGCTCTCATACGTAAGCCAATTGGTCGGTTTGATTCGTCCCTTACTGTAATTCCGCATCACCAATTCAACACATGATTCATTTCAGTCCCGAAAGTAAGGTCAGTAGTGTTCGCGCTTTTATCGTCGCGCGCCAAATTTTGTGACCTTCGAAGAGTTAGAGATATCTGCTTTATGTCGGAACTGGAATGTTTTTGATGCTGATTTCCGTTCTATTGATGTTTATTGTTTTCTTGGGGGCGCAGAACTCTAAATTTCTCGCTTGTGGGTCCATTGAGGGGCCGTTGTTATTGTTAACTTTATCGTCCGTGAGGAAAGGGGGCCAAGAAAGGAGAAGCTTCAATAGACGTGAACACCGATACAAGCTAATTCTTTCGCCATCAACAACATAACTCATACTTTGGATCATCTCATCATGCATAATTACACTGAGCGGGCTTTCAATGATCCTAGAATCTGCTTGATTTCATCACTCTAGACGAGTTCAGCTGGCTTTTAACTCCCAACCCCTCGTTTTCATCTGATCGGTGTGCCAGGAATGGATAAGATACATTCAAATATAATAATCCTCAAATAGAATCTGCCTCACTGGAATGCCTTTCCCTCTTACCGTCCCCAGATAGAGAGATGAAATTGCTCATCAATAGAAAACTTCCTGATATCATATGACAATGACACATAAGATTGGCATAACACCATATGAACGTCGAGATACAGAATCCCTGACCCACGCAAGTACAACGTAAAGTAAGGCAAATTGAAAAAAAACGGCCACTTAGCTTTCATCCTATGTTTGTGATGTTTGTGTATCTGGCTTAACTAAGGACTGGCTGACGCCTGCCATGCAAACACGACAGAAGTACTAGATATCTTTCGCCCCCCAAGATGCACATCGGATCTATAGAATCACATAACGTTGGTGTGATGACTTCATTGCATTAGTATTTGCCACCGTTACAACGAACAATTGCGCTGAATTGCCTTGTCCTTGACGCCCCATAATATCGTCTTTCACAATTTGAATGCTGACCATACTGATATGGTCCATCAAAAAGTTAAGAAAGCAAGAAAGATGATTATCATCTGCATCATCGGGTCTTTCCTCGAATGACCATTAGGGGCAATCTGAAGGATTTACGGCGAATCACCACTTCCCTTGGGAGGGACAAAGTGAGTTTAAAAACCGGAAGCGATTGAAAAGTGAGGCCGCATATTCCAGCTAGAATATGACAGAATTATTCTCCGGCGGAAAAATGCGAGAGAAAACAAAGAAGGTGGTGTGTAACCTTGAGAAAATGCTGATTGCAGCCCGACAAAGCCGTAGTTTGAGAACCTCAATAATGTAATCTAGTTGCAACTTGCTCGGCCAAACCTAGGTCGCCACGTCAGTGACCATCCGAAGCCCTTCATTGGGACCATTTCTCTCCAAGCTAGGTGCGTAGTGCATCGTGTTAACCAACAGCTTAGCGAAAACATTGTAGGTGTGAGATGCGCCGTGAGTGGCGAGAATTTGTGACATCTTCTAGCTAAGCAGATCGGGGAATGCTGGTTTGCAAACGCATTGTATGGATGATCTTTTGCTTCAAGGCTCCGTTTGTATCTGACAACACATTGATTTCTGACCACCTTGATCTCGGCAAGACGGAACGGACTCTCAAGTCAATATGCATATCGAGGCCGTCTTCTGCACAATCTGCGGCCGTGTAAATGTTGCAGAAAATAGAACAAGCATTCCAGGTGGCTTGCGATCACCAGACTGTAAAAATATGTCCTGTTATCAAACACCCCTTTCAGGCAAATATGGCTCGATGCGAATCCGGCCAGAAAGCAGGGAGTTATCAACATGTGACAATATTTCAAAGCGAGATATGCTGAATTAAACGTCTCGATATCAAGGATATAGATTAGAGAAAGAACGAGAAGAAAAGATAATAGCCAATGGCAGTCTACTACCACAGCCAGTTCATAAAAATGATGATGATCGACCGACCGTCGTTTGTGATTAGACTCCGGTTGGTTTGGAATAAGAAGCAACCGGCAATTGTGTGATAGGTTTGGGTCGATATCTCTCCACAAAGAAGGTTGTTACGGTCCGTCCTTGGGTCTAGCGGGTCTCTCGTTGCAAGCAGAGAACGGATGATCCAGTAATCAGGAAGAAGATTTGTGGCAATCAGTAAAACCAAGGAAATGACGGGATAGGAAATTCATAACGTGATTCCCATAGCGTAAACTTCTACACTCAGCAGGGGGGGCACACGATGTTGCAACGGACTGTGATTACCGATGCAGCAATTTTAACATGATGAAGTGATCACCCTGTCGAGACGAGAGAGGTAACTGAACGCGAGGGAACTTGAACCAAACATCGACAGAGGGGATGAATACGATAGGTGCCAGTTCTTCTGGCGATTGAGCCAAGGATGTGATTAGTTGCATGTATGTCTTGGTGAGAAAGGCACACAGATATGCACTTCGTTTGTTGGCTCGAATGGAAGCGTGGAAAACTCGAGGGGGCTAGTAGACAAACACGCTGCAAGGCTGGGAGGATTGTGACGGCGTGGTTGTTCGGACCATAAACAATGCTGTCCAGATCGTGTATAAATACTCCTCTTGATTTCCCCAAAGGTCGAATAACCACCACCATCATCAACATCCTTCAAAGCATCTCAACAAAAGATCTCTCAACTCTTTCTTGATCTCAAATTGTCATCGCCATCCAGTACAACAACCTCACTCGAGACATCATCAGACGTCGTCTTTGATCTCAAACATTCTATCGATAACATATCCGTACTTCGACCAGTAAGTTTGAGCCATGAAGCCTTGTCGCGTTTCATATGGAGTGTTGTAGAGAAGTAAGACTAATATGAATGGTTACACATAGCTCCCATCAACATGTGTTTTTTCGATCAGTGCCAATTCGTCTGTGGTGACTACAAGTGGGGCCACTTTCGACAACATTGTGCCAAAGAATACCGTACAGGTGAGACCTGCGGCATGAAATTGGTCATGACCACATACCAGAGTCATGAGAAGTGCAAGATTTGCACGAAGATCGAAACAAAATGGGGCCGTATCCAGAAGGAGCAGGAGCGTGTACTTCGATGGAAGAAGGAAAACGGAAAGAGTCGCCAACACTCAATCGAGGCGTCAGAGGAGAAGATCCGGGACCTGCAACAAGAGGTCAATAATCTCGAATGGCAACGCTCGCAGAATGCTTTAGCTTTGTGAAAGGTAAGAGACCAATCGCTTGTCCGAGTGATAATATTTGATGTTAATTCCTTTCTCAGTGAAACTTTCCACACAACACGATAGTACAGAACTAGCGAACTATTTTGTCGCGTTTCGAACTTTTTTCATAGGGTTGTCTTTCTTTTGATGGAGTGAAATGATGGAACGGGAAAGAGTAGTTTTTCATTTAAGGATGTATTGGAAATGATTGGTTTCTGGAGACAGATGAAGGAATTGTTTTGGAATTAGATAGTCTCACGACTTAACGATGAAACGATCATTTGAACAAGTTCCTTGAATTTGCCAATAAATTGCCAATGACTTGTGGATATGGCTGTATTCTGTTAATCGAGCCGACAATTTGGTCAAATGTTGAGGGGGCCATTTGATGTTGACCGGGCGCTTAGATGAAGAAATTGGGCGGCTCGGGAAATTAGTACATGCGAGCTAAATGCAAGCTTCCTTGAACTTTCGGGAAATTGAGGCACCATCCGAAATCATAAAAGGCGATCATATCAAAAGACTTGTCGGAGAATTTGGCTGTCGATGATGATCAATATCCTTACGATAATGAAGAAATCCCACTTGAATGTTCCTTCTTGTGGGTCGCGATCTATATATGTACGCAGCGAAGTCTCGTTCTGTAGGTATGTGTTGTGATGCTGTGTAAAACTTTTCCTATTGCAATTAGCCTAATGTGCATTGTCAACCATACACACCTGATCGGCAAATTATCGTCACTGAACAGTTTTCTTCATGAAGAGGTTGAAATAAAGATACGGATAACAAATATATATATGGTAAGAAGAAAGGAAAGAAGTCGAGAAACGCTTTCCAAAAGAATAAAAATCTTCAACAGGATCCTCCCTTCCCTTTATGAATTTCAGACTGAATGAACTTGATTGTAGTAGTAAATTGTAACGTGGCTAATCCTCAATGGATATCTGTGCAGCCTGACTGCAGAGCATGGGAAAGAGACGTGATAGGCTCTGATTCATGATCAAGTAACCAGTAGGCAGGCGCTTTTGACAAAGGAAATGCTTGAATGATACAACGCATAGTCAAATTACGCTTAGCTGGTCCAGTCAGAAGTCGATTCCCAATACTTCTCCTGGGAAATTGCGGCAGCATGATGGGCCGTGGTATGAGGATATTGTAACGACCTTCCCAACTCCAATACGCCGTGGAACACAAAGATGCCCGTATAAGTTCGAATCCATGTTCTACTCCATGGCCGACTCTGCATCTGCAAACCCTCCTAATAATGGTCCTACGTCTTCTGATTTGACCGGCTTGTACTTCTTCATTTCCTCCACATCTTCATCGTCCGATGCCCAACCATCGGAAATTGGGTGGGTACTTTCGACGGGGGTTTGTTTTGTATTGCTCGATCCGTCCTGTGATGGCATCTTGGCTAGAACTTCCTGATACCGCAATAGTCTTGCGTCTTGACCATTATACATAGTGACGGGTGCTCGAGGGACATTTTGAGGGACCATGGCGAAGATATCAACGAGATGACTGGCACAAAAGTTAGCTGGAAAATTCATCAATGCGATCGATTAGTTGGTTCCACGATGTGCAGTTTATTGATTGAGGGGTATCGATGTGGAAGAAACGTTTGGAGCATACGTACTTGGACGTTTGCGCTACGACCCTTTGCAAGGCCTCTGTCTCCCTTTGAACTTCTTGTGGATCTGCTTGAATGGCATTTGAATCTTGGTTCCCGAAACTGCCGTAATGATGAGAATGTGCATCGTTTTCGAATAATAGCCTTTGGTCTTCACCCTATTTGCAAAGTCGTCAGCGACTGCTTTATTTTGTGTATAACAGGGGAAATCAAACCTCGTCCGACGAATCCCGATTACGTTCCAGCCCAAGACAAGAAGAACAATTACCCATTGTTTCTACCCTCTCTATTTCTCTATCTTCTGTCCTGTCTATCTTCCAACGACTCAGGGATAAATTGATCCCATACACAACACCAACTGTACTACCTACAATCAACCATCGACAGACGAATTTTAGGGATCAAAACTCTGGAAGATCGCTAATATCCAGTTACGCGACGAATGTACTGGATTTGGATTGTCTTTGCGAAAGCAAGGTGATGTTGATAAAATTATTCAAAGAAAGCATTTCTTAACTTTTTGGAGGGAAAGGATGTTTCGATAAGAAAGTTGATTATGATGGAGATCCAACCTCCCGGCTAAATTACGGTTAGACATTCTTAGTGATTGGGTAGCCTTCAAGGTACTAGTGAGTAAGCTGACTGAGCAACTAAAAATATCTAATCGTCACTCCCCTTTATTGTCACTACAAACAAACTTCACATTACATATTGTTAAACTCACTTCCAAAGCCACACCTTTCTCATTCCAACTATTGGGTACTGATATAATATATACGGCAATCGATGTTCAAAGTTCAATAACGACGCTCCGCTCGACCACTGCCGTGGGAGGCTTTTTCGCTTCGCTCTGGGAGAGCAATTCTTTCTATCTTCACTACTTCTATGTATTTACATAGTAAAGTTAGATAGTAGCCCCCTTCGTTTCTTTGACCAACCTAACAGGAGCGAAGCGAAAAGACCTCCACGGTGGTGATTCGGCGGAGTATCACCAATCCGTCTTCCTTGGCCCAACTTTCCTTCCCTGTCCCCGTTCAATATGTTGAGCCGATTTACAGGTATTCGACTCATCATCCCTTTATTAGACTGATTTTATATCCTCCCATCATGGAATCCCCCCCTACTCCCTTTTCCCTGGGAACAACTTCATGTTCTCCCACCGGGAACATAGGATTATCTATGGTCTCAACAATATCGGAACCTCTCAAAGTATTCTCTGGTTTCTTGAATATTCTATCGCCTCATCAAAACCTTGCAGCTCTGTATACTCGCTGATCTAGAATTTGATTGCTGGCAAATTTCTTTCACACAACAAAACCCAGTATGTTCGGGAATTCGACTACAACCCCTGTAATCATCCATTGCTGCAACAACACTGGGGAAAAAAATGAAATTCTTGGAAATTTCCTTGCTCTGCTTCTGCTGTTCTCTGATAGATTTGATGCGTTTGTTACTTGAAGAGATCTCATCCCTTGCTTGGTGACAAACTCACCTTGCAAAACCCCCTTCATGAACGTATAGACCTTACCTGAATGTACCGGATATTTCTATCTATCCAGTTGTACAATAATATTCTCCCTTATTTTCAGTTTTTCGAGTACCTGCAAGGCGATACAATATATTGATCGAAAATTACTTTCTTGTGTCTCCAATGTCTTAACACATCACCCTTGGTGTTTTGTGATATTTTATAAGAGAGTACTTTCTTTTTTCTGAATACTTTCATCGGCAAGGTCATCTCATCATCACATTCATTCATTGATTTATTCCTTTCGATTACGACGGTCTTCATTCTTTCGTCCGTTGTTCTCATTGCTTGAAATCGATATCTTTTACGTACCAACACTATCTTATAACATTCTACATTGTTAACATGTTTCGAAGTCGAAACGTGGCTGCTTTAGCAGTGCTCGCACTATCCGGATCGTCGCTAAGTAAGCCAGTTGCAGGCGGATCATGGGTTGGTGAGACTTGTATCTGTCCACCTTCTGATTGTCCACCAGTTGTCACCTCCTACACCACCATCACGACTACTCCTGTTCAAACTGTCACTATCACAAAAACTATCAGTCATGAAGTAACCCCTCCAGCAAACACAACTGCCAATCCAAGCACGGGCCCACCAGGGGTACTATCTTCACCGATTGCCATTTATACCCCTTCCACTACTGCCCCACTCGAAACCACCGTCAAGACGACTACAATATCTGGCTCTGAGATACTTATCACCAGTACTATCACACCCAGTCAACCTCCACCGCAGAGTACTATACCTTGCGAAACGATCACTCAAACTATCACAACTTCAGGAACTGTCGTTGTCATAACCACCACTTTCACACCTAGTCAGCCTCCTGCCCAGACTGTCACATCAGTAGTTGGAACTCCAATAATTACTACTGGTATTTAATTTTCTTGATCCTTAACACCCATTTCATCACAAGATCTAACCAGTCCAATTCTAGTACCTGGATCTACCATCATGACCACTATACCTGGCACGATCATCACTTCAAGCATTTCTGGATCAGTCATTGTTATCACGAAGACTATCCCACAAACTACTGAAACCACTGTCATTCCTTGCGATTCGACCTTCACGGTAACTCAGACAGGAACAGTGGTCAAAACAACTCGTCCTGTCTCTACAATCATCTTCACAGAATCTGGACACATTGTAACGTCCACGTATTTACCATCAACCTTATACGTGACGTATACATCTAATATCTACACCACTGTTATAACAGCTACAACGATCACGAAAACTATTTCGGCAAGCACGCTAACGATCACTAAGACTGGTGAAACCGTTCAAACCACTCTTCCCGGTTCTACCTTCGTCACCACAATTCCCGGATCTGTCATAACTTCAACCGTCACGCCTATTCCAGCCACTACAGCCCCGCCCTCGTCAACATGTCAATATGACCCATGCCTCAAACAAATGCTGGAATCCTCAGCCGTTACTTCATTCTGCGCTACCTACACAGCAAGTGTTCACATGATTCCAATTTCCCTCCCAGCCTGCGTCTCTGAATGTGACACTGCACCAGGTGCTCTCTCATCTGCTTGCTCATGTCTAGTCGGCCAATATACCCCTCCTCCAGCTGTGACTTCCACCCCTGTCACCATTATAACTGCCTCAACGATTTTTGACCCATCGTTTACACCCACGGCTTCCTCGAAGCCTCCATGCAAACACTGTACGGAGGTTCTTACCATTCCCCAACCCTCTATAACCCCATCAAATGGCATCTGTTCAACTGATCTAATTTTCTCTACAATAACTACAACTACTACAATCATCCAAATCCTTACAACGACAAGTAGTATTCCAATCTCACCGCCAACGGCTCATATTTCTAGCTCTCCAGGTCCTTCGAATGGTACGGCCTCAACGACAACGCTTTCTTCTGCCAGTTCTTCCACTGTTTTACTCTCGTCGTCTATCGTTCTATCGACATTGATTGCTCCCTCTTCTTCTGCGCAGAGCACTACCACATCATCGTCTTCCTCCAGGGTCGCATTGTGGTAGACCCAAAGTCTATCGACCAAACAGTTAACCAAACAACGAGATATAAGCACGAGGAGGGCTGCAATAAGGAAACAAATCATTGTTTAGACCAAGTTTGATATAGTATACTGTTCCGAAATCGTCTCTTTCTTTATTTTTATCTTATAAAGTTGTATTTGTTTTAATTTTAATCTGGTATTGTCAGGTGTGAAATGGTGGGAATCGTGTGTTATGATTATGGTGGGAACTGACATAGATAAATATGATTAGATTAATTTGATAATTGTTTTCTCTTGAATTAAATTTTCCTGATTCAATGTTGGTTTATCTCGATGTTTATTTTGAGGCTGGAAAATCCTTCTTCTCATGTTTCCAGTCTGTGATATTGTCCAAAATCATCCTTCTCTTGAAGACACAGCATCGTGGAAGGCTTTCCCAAAATGAACCGCATACCTAGGAAACGTTTCGAGCAATGTTCTATTTTATAATGAACTAGGACGAGATGGCTACTATTCTCTGGATTATATATAGCTGAGATGATTCTATTAAGAGCGGACAACAGAGTGCTCAGAATACCGGCTTGGTTGAGGTGTTTCCAGGATATCATCTAATTTGATCGGCTTAAAGAATGAAATTTCTCAGAGTTGGCTCTCAAATCATTCTTTGCGCGATTGCTTGACTGTTTTGGGGGCTGCTTTGAAAATATCAAGACCCTTCAACTATTAGCAAAGTTTGTATGAAAATTAGGTTGGATTGTGATTGTTGGTATAGGCCTGATTTAAGAATTTACAGGGGTGCACACAGTCTGGCCATCCACTCAGTAGCCCATAACGGGCTTTGGAACATAAGCCTCCTCCAAATATTTGCTTTCCTGCTCGGTAAGTTGAACACTTAAAGCCTTCACAATATCATCCACCTGCTGTTTGTTGTACAATCCACAGACAGGCGCCATTCCTCCCTTTGATAAAATCCAAGCAATCGCAATGATGGCCATGCTGATACCCCTCTTACCAGCCAATTCTTCCACCCTTCGTACAATTTCTTGATCGGCCTCAAGACGCTTGCCACGGAAGAGTAACTTCAAGAAGACATCACTCTTCTCACGTTCATCAGTGCGATCTTCCCAGGAGTGGGCGAGCACGCCGGCGGCGAGCGGCGACCAAGGAAAAAGGCCAATATTAGCTGCTTTGCAATATGCGTTCATCTCGCGCTCCTCTTTGCGGTAGAGCAGATTGTAGAAGCCTTGCATTGAGATGAACTTATGCCAGTTGTGTTTTTCGGATACATTTTGCGCCATTTGGAACTCCCAGGCTGCCATCTACAATAATAACATTAGTCAAATCCGTTTTAGTGATCCGGAGACTTAGAGAAGGCTCACAGAGCTACCACCTATATATCTAGCTTTGGCACTCTCGATGATGTCATTGAAGGCATTCATGGTTTCTTCGAGTGACACTTCGCGGTCAAGACAGTGAGTTTGGATAATATCAATATAAGTACCTAGGCGGGCAATGCTGGCATCCACAGCGTCGAAGATGTGCTTTCTTGATAGTCCGACTTGATTCACTTGAACATGATTATTTCTCCCTTAGCCAGCGGCGTCAGCAGCTCCTCTCGCAGGGTCGACAAAATGGAACACCTTGGTCATGATGACAACTTTGTTGCGAGGGATTTTATACTCTTTTAAGAAGGCACCGAGAATTTCCTCTGAGCGTTCATTGGAATACACATCGGCGACATCGAATGTGTTGATACCAGAATCATATGCATGCTTGAGAATAGGGAATGCCTCTTCTTGGGTCAGGACCCAGGGTTGCCAGTTCTTGTCACCATAGGTCATACAGCCAACTATGGTCTTGGAGACTTTTAGACCGGAGCTTCCAACTCTGTAAGAGATGTTAGCTTCTGTCTGAGCATTGATTCGGTGTGTAATAAGCTCGAGCATACCTCATGTATTGCATTTTGTTAGACATAACTGATACTGCTGAAGTGGCAAGAAAGAGATGATATTATGGTCAATGGAAGTGTGATGAAATAACGGGTTTGAACTTCATTCTATTTACCTTGTGTGCTATTAACACTTTATATATTGAGAGACGATAAGGTAGAGTACAACTTCAGATTTTGTCAGCCACTTGATCCACTTTACCATATCTGCATTAGCTGCTGAGCGCAGGGTAAGATCGCCATATATTACAATCTTCCTGTTCAGGGCAAAGAAAATCAAATGATTCAAGATATAGACCTTCCGAAGAGAAGATGCTCGATTAGGAAATTTTATCGTAAGCAACGTGCATCAGTAGCTAGACCCTAAATTAGTTTACTCCTAGTTACTCGAGCGATTCCACAGAACTAAAAATGATCCGAAAAACCTTGATAGAATGGCTTAAGCACTTTACCACTTTTTCTAGCTCCACCAAGCATAAAAATGGGTCTCACTTACTTCGTCTTGAAGGTGTTATGGCTCCCTTCAGTATCTCCGCCGATATGTCCGGGCAGAGAAGAGCTTCACTGGTCCAGGTACAATGCCTTGCAAATAAGTTAAATCAATGTTACTTGCTTAAATTCAAGGTGATTTACATCGGCCAACACCATTTTTCTTTCTGTTCACCTCTGTAACAGGTATTCAAGTTTCCCTTCTTTCATTTCAAAATCATCGCGTTCAGAATGTCAAACAGGTACGCTGCGGCTCACGAGAAACTCCTCGGCCCGGGAGATCAGCGTCCAACAGCGTTACAAGTTGTCAAAGATGAGGAGCTTGAGGGAAAGCTCAAGAATAAAGTTGTACTTATTACTGGGTGCTCTGCGGGTCTGAGTGTAGAGACTGCGCGCGCAATGTTTGCAACAGGTGCTACTATTTTTCTCACAGCTCGGAACACTGACAAAGCACGAGCAGCCCTTGGTGAAGTTGCTGAATCACCACATGTACACCTCTTAGAGATGGACCAGACTTCGCTCAAAAGTGTACGAGCATGTGCTGCGAGTTTCCTCGAACAGAGTGAAACATTGAACATCGTGATCAACAACGCTGGCATCATGGCTGTACCTGAGACTACGAAAGAAGATGGCTTCAAATCGCAATTTCAGACTAATCACCTGTCTCACTTTCTCCTCTTCTATCTTCTCAAACCTACACTCCTCGCCTCGGCAAATCCCAAATTCGCTTCGCGAGTCATCAATCTCTCCTCTTTCGGTCACCGTCGCGGAGAGCCGGATCTTGATAATATCAACCTCACTCGGTGCTACGATAAGTGGAGAGCATATGGAAGCAGCAAAACATGCAACATCTGGATGGCCGATGAGGTTGAACAGCGATACGGCTCAAAGCATCTGCGTGCCTTCTCCTTATACCCAGGTGGTATTGTTACACCACTATGGGATTTCATAAACGCTGAAGACATTGCGGACCTAAGAAGTCAGGGGGTATTTGATGAAAGTCTTAAATTGCCCGAGCAGGGTGCTGCCACAACAGTATGGGGGGCAATCGCCAAGTGCTTGGAAGGAGATGGTGGAAAGTATTTGGATGATGTGCAGATTCCGGGCCCATGGACTTCAGATCAATTATTTGCACTACCTGGTTGGGCTCCTCATGCTCATGATAAGGCAAGAGAGGGAAAACTCTGGAAGTTGTCATTAGACATGGCTGAATTGAAAGACACTGATCTCTGAACCTATGATTTTATATATGGACAGTATGATGTTTTCTTTGGGATTAGTCACTGTTATCGCTACTCATATATTTCACCGTACAACAGATGAACACTGTTCTATAATACTTTGCCGGATTTTTTGTCTCCAATGAGGCGACCTATACCTCTCAGACTTACTAATCCAATGCTTTCGATCAAAATCTTACTGTCTGGTATATCATCTCAAAGTATAGTTTACAACTTAATCAAAAACATCAAATTGCAGATACATCAATTTAGAGATATAGATCGCTTACGACCCCGCTGCTATTATTGTTCGCCAACTGGCTCTCATCTAAGTTTCATTAGCATCGGAACGTAGACTATATTTAATACTATAGCTTTATTATATATATATATATAATCTGTAGAAAATCTAGAAGCGGATTTTGATCAAGCAAATTTGGAAGATTACTACCATCATTTAGCAGCAATCAGTGTCTGTAAAGGCGAGATTAGTTGACCTCGTGAAGTAGTATCTATGGTAAGCTAATTCAATTTTTATCGAATACACTTAGAGTGAATTCTGTTTAGCAGGATAACCGATCATAGGAGAGTATTTTGCATACATAAGAAAGCCCTTAATTGAAGTGCAAGCTTTTACATGCCTACTGAAAATATAAAACGAGTAAACAAGTTTATCCTGGTCAACTTGGAACCCTAAAACCAATTACCAGATAGTTTCTCAACACATGCTTTACTGCCATGTCCTAATATAACATCAACTCGAAGGTGTAGAGATGAGAAAAAGCACAGTATGGATCATGACAATGTCAAGTCTTTCAACTGACCGAAGAAATTTAATATTCGCACCGCAATGTATTTACGTCTGAATTCGCAATTAAACATTTCATTCATATATTCTTGTTTATATAGCGCTATGCTTCTAATGTCCGACCATAGACTGCGCGGCGGCAGAATATCTGTTACCTTGTGGCTTGGCGTCATCCACAATCTTGCGCATTTCTTGCAACTCTTCCTTCGTCAAATCAATATTCCGTGAGGCAAAGTTGGCCTCAAGTCGCTCTGGCTTGGTTGTTCCTGGAATAGCAATCATACCCTGAGCAGCAACCCACGCGAGAGCAATCTGGGTGATTGTACACCCCCTTCGAGTCGCGAGTTTCTTGATTTCCTCCACAATAGCCTTGTTCTTGTAGAAATTTTCCTCTTGGAATTTAGGGCCTAGATGAGATTACGTGTCAGTAAAGACCGGGGGGATTATAGTGAATAGTGAATATAGTCAAGGAGAGACATACTAGTTCGACGAAAATCGCCCGCAGGGAAATCATCGGGAGTTTTGAATGGAAAGTCGTCTACGAGCCATCCGTGACCTAGTGGGCTGTAGGCAACGTAGGCAATCTCTAGCTCTTTTGCAGTTTCTATCAATCCATCTGTCTCGTGAATAGTCTCAAAAGCAGAATACTCCGCCTGGAGAGCATCAATCTTTGCAACTACAAATGTAAGCAGGAATCGACAATTTCAAATGGGAGCTTACTTGAATTTGCTTTGCGCAAAGTGGCAGCAGAACATTCAGAAAGGCCGATAAACTTTGTCTTTCCTGCTTTACGAATCTTGTCGAGAGCTGAGATGGACTCTTCTAAGGGAGTGTCTTTAAAAACAAAGTCAGCAGACTGGACACGATGTTAAGTTGGGACAACCTACTAGGATCAATACGATGCAGATAGTAGAGGTCTGGTGTGAAGCCGAGTCTCTCAATGGTGCCCTCGATATACTCCTTAATATGGGAAGCAGAATTAGTGACTCCTCCGAGTCCACCACCATTGTTCCCAATACAATCAAATCCACATTTTGATGCAACTACAAATTAATATAGTCAGTGTTGGTTCTCCCATGGCGATGGATTGTAACGTACTGAAGACTTTATCACGGACGTTGTGCTTTCTAATGAAATCTCCGAGCAGTTTCTCGTTAATACCCGCTGCGTAAACAACCTGCATTCTCATTCAGCAGTCTTCCGACGCATATGCAGATATATCTCAAACTTACAGCAGTATCCCAGAATGTACATCCCAGTTCAATGGCCTTAAGAAGGACTGGCTCAGCTTCCTCCAAGCTGAGATTACTTCCCAAACCAAAGCTTAATCCCATAGCACCGAAGCCTGGATTAGCGACCTGGATGTCGCCGAAGGGAATTGTTTTGACCATATTGAGTTTTAGTGGGGGGTTTTCTGATTGTCTGTTTAGTTGTTTGTTTAATTGCCTGTTGTGCACTTTTCAGAATCATACAAAGTTATACATGTATATATACTGTAGAATAAGGAAGTGAGAGAGCCAGGTGAGATCTCAAGGACGGACTTTATGGAGATAACATCGGAGTCGATTGAGACATTCTACTTGATTCTTAAGTCAGTGTTGTCCCGCTCGCTTCACTTTCTAACATCGGCTATCAATAAAGCAGCATTGGTTACATTTTGTATTGTGTTTCGGCCGAAAGAGGCTTGTGGAGATTCGTAAAACCCTAAATAGCTTACGTAAACCACCTTATGTCAACATGCAGTATGGCGTGCCGTGGTTTATCAGTGGGTCGGTGGGGCCGTTTTTCAATCTCAAGCCTCCTGCTTCAACGACTTCGAACAACGGTTTCTCATATAAGGCAGATGTCGGCGCACTAAAGAAAACCCACACTACGTGTTGACATGAGGTATCTAACGAGAAGCTGAAAAGGTAGACAATCAGACTCGACGCAACAGGTATAGGTATCAAAGATTAATTGATCCCTAACAAGACCTATCAATGATTTGAAGCTATAGCACGTAACGAAAGACTGATCATCATGTGGGAATGGATCAAACTGACACAAGCATAATGGATTTCAGAGTGTTTAATTCTTCTGAATGTTGACATTGTAGACTACAACTTGATACGAGCGGTTGAAAGTGGTCTGCCCACTGATAAACCACGTTGCCATATTTGTTCTGGAGCAATATTGCAACTATGGCATCTACGTCACCAACAACTCTACGTCGCCGCATGCCGATAAGGTTGTGATCGAGCATAAGCATGACCCAGAACCGGATACGGAGATGGGTCCACCATAGATTCCCCGGCATGCCCCATTTTCACACTCTCTTCCCAGAGTTTGTTTGCTAATCTCTTGCTATGTCCAATTCTACCTTTCCTATTTGGAGTGCCTCATCTGCTTACTGCTTGCTTACTACCTGTTGCTTACTACTTAATTACTGCTTATGACCACCCCAAACCTAGGTGGAAGTAAATAATAAGTGCAATATCCACATCGTTCGAATATGGCCAAACCGCCATTCGCCGCTCAGATTGCCCTGCAGTATACGCCGCAGCAAGAAACAAACGAAGGAGTAGAGGATGTTTGGTCTGGCCTGTCTAACGAGGCTGAGCGAAGAAAGGCACAAAATCGAGTTTATCAGAGAGCTTGGCGTAAGTACTCGTTCCACTTTTTGCAATAAGTCCTCGAATGTTACAATGAGGTAATGATGATGTGTGCGTCTCTCATTTGTAGGGAGAAGAAAGAAGCTTCAGCAATCACAGTTTCGCGTAGTTAAATATGCAACTGTTGAGTCGAACAGTACTTCCGCGCAAAAGCTTGCACCCTCGGAGACTAGCTCGTTCAGCTCTAGTGGCTCATCAGAGGGTAGCTCGCTGATGTTAAGAGCTAAAGATCATCATTTCTCCCATTCACACTCAGATGTAACTCAGTGGCAAGAGGCTGATCTGCTTGAAGCCTTCAATTCAGCTGCAGGTCTTTCTCAAATCAAAACTCGCGAGCGTTCTCGAACAGCTGTTGCATGCGCACAAGGCAATCTGGGTGATTCTGTGATTATAGAGTGGTTGCAAAAATGGCCACCAAGCAATTATACGATTGGATCTCCGAGGAGCGACAAACTGCTAGTTCTCGTCAAAGTCAATGTGTTCCGAGCTCTCATCAGCAATTCCATGACTCTGAATCCTATCTGACGTCATCACGAACGATAATGCAACATCTGCATTTTGCCCGCCGTCTGTTGATGTGAACGGCATCCTCGCACTGCCGCCATCATTGCTGCCCACAGATCTCCAAACCCAGATCCCCCATCATCTAAGATGTTATAGACCTTTGTGGATATTTAGTTGGACTTTTCAGTGCTGGCACTGGGAGAACAGGTATGATCATCTGGGGAGAGCCGTGGGATGTGGCCGGTTGGGAAGTGACTGAGGGATTCTTGGAGCGATGGGGATGGACGATCAAGGGATGTTGGGGTTTATTTGAGTTTACAAATAAATGGAGGATAGGACGAGGTCAAATGGCTCTACAATTTGAGGAAATGTTGATCTGAAGATTTTATCCATGTTTTTCATGTGAGGCATCGCAGGCTCTTCAAGAAGGAGACAAGCGACCAGGTTTGGCACATGCGCATCTTTATCATTTGCTGGCACATTGGGCTGTTTTTGGATACAATAATAATTTTCTTAAAGTAAAAGAAAATACAAAATGATGGATACATTTGAGGTAGATATCTCTAGATTGAGCTAATTTTTTATTTGTTTCAGAAAATGTTATGAAAGGGATCAAGTACACAATAGTAAACTCCAATATTGGTTGGAGCGTGAATAAGCAATACCTTTTCATGATATTGATTATCGCTCTGAAGTGATCAAGGATTTAGATTTGTTTGGGTTACTTGGTACTAGATGGTATAAGCTAATTGCTTGAAAAGAATCTGGGCCATCATCGTTCCTCTGCTTAGCCATAGCGACCAGATACTCATCAGCACTCAGCTTAGCCTCCACTATCTCTGGGTATGCTATTGTCTCGTTGAGAAAGTTTTGGTAATCAGTGTTGTCCCACCAAGGCGCTTTCTTTCGGCGCGAGGCAGGAGATGATATCATGAGGAATTTTGTAACCTCGGGAGAAGTAACGGATGCCGTGATAATTTCCTTCGCTGCATCCCGATCGACGGCTTTAACATTACTCATATTTCCTGATGAACAATAAGGCAGCTTAGTAAAAGTATTTGTAGCATAATCATAACAATCTTTACCTGTCGCAAACACAAATATAGTTAGGCTTGACTTCCTTGAGGATCTTACTGGCGTCTTCATCCTTCATGAGTATAAGATCAACAACGAGGACATCGGCTTTAGGACCTCTTCTTGGTCCTAACTGAAGAATGTCTGCTTCTTGTCTTGGATCTCTGATGACACTGGTAACGTGCCAGGTTTTCATAAGCATCGATTTAGCAATCAGTCGGCCAATGCCACCATTTCCACCAAAAATCAGAACGCGAGGTGAGGCCATAATCTCAATTTAAAACAGAACAATAGCGATAACTAGGATCTTATATCAGAAAGAACAGAGTGTGTGCAGATGGCGATAGGGAAAGAGAAAAGCTGGGCGTGGAAATCACTTCTATTTGCTATTGCATGACTGTTTTGGGGCCGGGGGCAGATTTTAAGGTCATCGAACCATCTCGTTCTCTCGGTTTACTTGAATTACTCTTTATCGAAGAAAAAGAGAAGAGAGCGGAAGAAATAATGCCCTCCAAGACCAAAGGCTCCTCGTGATGGCATCCGGATACATTGGCCATATACCGAATGATACAAAACGTGGGGATGCAATATGCATATTGTATGGCATGGACGTACCAGTGGTTCTGCGACAAAATCAGGATGGAACTTTTGAATTCATCGGGCCGTGCTATGTTCATGGCGTAATGGAAGGTGGGTTGATGGATGATATGCAAAATAGAGTTTTTGAGGAGAGAATTTTCGTTATTGCTTGATTTTATTTTACACTTTCTAGGACATGTCTGTTTTGGTGCTTGGCTTCATTATTGCAATCGATCTCTTCGGACCGAGGTTGTTCTTTTTGTATGAATATAAAGTGTTGAAAAGGAGGGGATGAGGGAGGATCAATGACAGCGAATGGAATTTCTAATTATCATACACTTTCCAAGATCCTGAAAAACTGGTTACTCAGAACTCTGGTTAGTTGCAAGAGTAGACTACCCCTCTACCTTGTACGTAATTCTCAAATCCGACGACAGCAAAAATACAGAGTTGTATAAACGAGAATATTACAGTGAATTTGTAATTACTTAGGATCAAATTATTTCGTCCAGATGCAGTAGATATTGATGGGATCAAGTGCCAGAGAAGAGTAACGGGAATCAAGCTCAGATTCCCAGGAAGCTTGATTTGATATATATCCTCTATTTCCTTATTCGCCCATCTTCTCTCAAAGTATCTTTCTCAAATCTTTAGTCCCGGCGCTGTTGTGACTTCATCATGCTCGACTTGCTCTATCATCTGAACGTCATTTTCAATATATTATATACTCATTGATTGTATCGAAATTCGTACGAAAAAAAATCATACACAAGCAAGTGCAATTGATCGATTATAAATCCGGAGTCCACTGCTTTTCCTATTACCCTTGAATTTTCGATGATAAAACACGAGGTCAATTAAAAAGGATTATTTCGGCATCAGATTACCCCTTCATTCTCGTTTATTTAACAACACGAATTTTCTCTCCACAATAAAGGAAGACGCTCCACCTTTTCCTATTTCCATCAATCTTCCGAGTTCAATTCATTTCAAAAGCCAAAAAAATATCATGATATATCGAGACTAGGACAAAATAATACGACGTCGGCATGATTCGAACATGCGCCCCCGAAAGGAATTGATTTCTAGTCAATCACGTTAACCACTCCGTCACGACGCCTGTCAAATTGCAATTGTTTGATGAATAAGCAGATTTATTCAGCATGTATATACCATTTTGAAACTGAGCAATAATCATTATAATTACTTGCTGAAGTGTGTGTAAATTGTCACTCGGAAGCATCGTAATTTTGAAATAAGAAAGGCCAACTCCTTGCTTTCTCTCTGCTCTTTCTAAACTGTCATCTCTTTCTTTTCATACCAAATCTTGGTTATATTGATCTTGTTCATGTTAACAATACTCAAGTGGACAGTATAGATCGTGAGGGACACACACCTGCACACATTTTCACACATTGAGTATTTAATCTGTAATGAATTTGCTATGCTATGATCCCAGAAAACTGGGCAGTAATTGGCATATAAAGTATTTGATAATAGTGTACTGACCCCAACTTTTTCTAGAACAGCCGTAGGACTGGACGTCCTCGTTGACAAGCTTGGACGTGGTCTGCTGTGGTGGTGGGTCCACAGGATCATTGTTGACCATTATATCTGTAGCCGGCCTGTCATCAATCGTGCGCTCCCATTCCTCTGTTAAACGGGAACAAAATGATTCGGGGCATCATTTGGGTGTTGAAACATGCTCGGTGATCATTCTGTAGGCAGCTTGCAAGTAGGAATCATTGCATTTTTCTTCCTCGTGGTGATAGTTTCAGATGCTGAGCATCAGCATGGCATTGCTCAGGTGTCGAGTATTTGTTTACCTTACAGACTGCAGATCGAAGTGACTGGAAGAGTCTTCTACGAACTTGAGTCTATCTCCGGTGAACTCGAGTTGATCGCTAATCTCATCAATCCCTCCACGATATCTGTATGACTTAGATTTCTCAGAAATTCTTCATCAGACATGTCCCCCAAAGGCGTTACTTCGTCAGTTGAACTTTTTGTCTTCTTCGCTTCAATTCTTGCCTTCAATTCAGTTTCCAATTTCAAGATACTTCCATCAATTCCCCGCATGGTTTTATGCCCAGATGGATCTTCCAATTTCCGTAGTGCTTCCTCGAGAATCTCCAAGGATTGCAAATCTTTCTCACTTGTATGCTTCAGACGCTGTTCTAATATCGACCGTTTCTGCATTGTTCTCAACAACAATTCCCGTTTCATGGTGCTTTTTGCCTTCAGTTGAATTTTAAGCTTTAGTATGACTTTGTCAATTGGATCTTCATCTCCGAAATCAGCTGTATTCATATTTTCCCTTATCTATCTTCGACCCATGGTCGATATGCCAACGATATGGTCGGCTAAGCCGTCCAAACTATAGTTTCCAGCTTTGAGTTGTGGCCAAGGCATGCGCAAATCACCTTCCAACGACAGTTTAGTGAAAAATTCGTTCACAACCACAACTCCGAATTCACTTCTCTTGCCTGACCTCAGCATGTACCGAAACCCTGCATCGTCCGTGACCAAAATTAACCAAATAAAAGAATGAGGCTCCTTCTCTAACTGCGTCATCTTCCACTTCTTCCACGCGCGCCGTAGAGCTGCATCTGCTTCTTGGGGAGCCGTACCCACGCGTTCAATGTGTACGCCAGCTTCTATCAATTTTGTACCAATTTCAGAGAATGTGAGATGACTACCAAAAGCTAATATATTAATAAGCTCCCCGAAATGCCCAGCGAACTTCTTCAACGAAGTTACCACGTCGTCATAAGACGGAGAAATTCTTTTATTATCGACATCCCATAGAACTACGACCAAATTTTGCCTTGATATAGAGGTGTTTTCTTGATCCTCAGATGCAGCTTCCGTGTCGGCCAATGCAGAGATCTGATCCACTTTGAATTTCGACTTCAGTATCCTTTGGCGTGCTGGCTTGCAGAAGGGAGCTTTATAACCCTTTTTGGCAATCAAACTTTTTTCTTGATTGGGGCACGACGGTGTCTTTCTCACTTCTATCTAGCCTTAGAGTTGAATCTGATTTAGGGTATGCAGTCTTTAGCTCAGAACTTGATTTACTCTCAGAAAGAGATGGGGGATGCAAAACCTCTTCTGGATTTATTGGCCCCGAAGACTTTGTTAAAATCATTTCTGAAGAAGGCATTGAAAGCATCATAGTTTTTCTTCTTCTGATAAGTTCCCATCTTCTCAAAATGGCAGATGGATGAACTCTTCTCAGAGGTGGTGAGCCCCCATGCAGAATTGAATTTGAGGTGATATCCGTGGCAAGTGTCGTGAAGAATGCCAAGTCTAGACGGCATTTTGACAAATTTTTGTTGGTATCACCACGATTATTGAACCTCGGGTACAACGAACAGAGGAATAATTTGGTGTTAGGAAGCAAAGAGGCGTGTATTGAGTTTCTGGGACTCAATTGGGGAATCATTGCTCATCTCATGATTTTTAGATTTGCCTATCTCTTTGAATTTGTGTCACGGGGTCTTTTCTTTTGTGACTTTACTTTCATGATTCAAGATTCTCGTAAAGAGAAAGTGGCGCTGAGATTCCGAGAAAGAGGAATACCCCGGATTTTGGCGCACCAGCGCGGCCGCTAGGTTTATGTCAGCATCACGTGACGCACACCAACCGGCTGCTATCTACTAGGTACCCTTAGTCTTCCATCTTTGACAGGAACATTGTGTTTACGTTTTCTTCACCACCCTCTAATTGTACCATTGGAACAGGGATATTTTCTAATCTTGATGAATTCTTATTTTAAATCTGAGAACTACTCGGCCATGCTCCTTCTAAGTCGAGTGATCTAGGGTCTAGGAATTTCTGCTGTCATACGTGTCATACACTACATGCAACTAGAGATTCGATGGTCCCAAGGCTTGAAGATGTGTATCTTTGAGATGTCACACTACATAAATGAGCAGCCAAGGCATTCTTATGCATACTTTTTATCCTCAGCGCAGTGCGACGAGATTCATGGTGTTTAGACATCCGAGGCGAAGATGTTGATATCGAAGATGAAGAAAAAGCTGGAAAAGCTTCTTTCTTATTCTTTAAACACCCAAGTGGTTTCTCTTAATTTATTAAAACCCGAAATCTCCGGTTCTTCATTGTCAAAGGAGTACACAAAACCAATAAGTTTCACCATGCCTGAAGTTCGCTCATACGAGTCTAGCAATAGCAGAAATTCTCCACCATACCATTCACTCTTGCATCCGAAAATAGAGAATGATGAAGGACTATACCTACGAGATGGAAATGCGGCTACTTTGCGGCGAAAGTTTCTACTTGGAGTAGCTGTGGGGCTGCTCAGCGGATTATCTATAATTCTGCTTATCTATGCCACATTTTCATACATTTTCAATTGGAGTGTACCACAGACATTTACTCCAGATTGTAGGTTGGGGATAAAAGATTTCTCCTGGAAAGGTTCCAGTCGTTTTAGATATCACGTACTCATATTGAGCAGTTCCATCACATGCAGTCCTATTTGAAGAAGACGACAGATATGCAGCTGCTTCTAGTCCAGAAACAGATTCAGCATGGGATAATTTGATGCCAGGTACATTTTACCCTCAAAAGTTTTCCGGTCGATACATCTCCAACAGAAGCTAATTCAACGTCACCAGCTGGAAGAGGTTTCATTTTTGTCGAAGACCCCGAAAGATATGGTCTTCGACCAGGATTACCATCAACAAATAGATCAGATCGATATTCGGTTTCCGTATTCCGCCAACTCCATTGTCTGGTAACAACCCTTTCTCCTTGCTCTATGATCCACCCAAATCACCATCTAACACCTCCAGGGCATGATCCGCGAATCCTACAACTCGGTCCTCATGGGAGTTCGCCCGCACATCCACGGCGATGAAAACCTCTCAGACTCAGCGGCTCAAGAATCGGAAACAGAACATACATCCCACTGTTTCGATTATTTACGACAAGCAATGATGTGTTCTGCAGATATGACTATCGAATGGGCAATGGAGATGCCGGATGGAAAACCTCCGCTTACAGTTGATGGGTGGGGTATCACTCATACGTGTAGAGATTGGAAACATGTTTTGAAGTGGATGGGAGAGCATAGGAGTCCGGCGAATAGTTCGGGGATTGCATAAGGGTTTGGGAGACGACGATGGGCTATAAATTGCTATGGATTGGAGTCCATATGTTCGACGGACTCTTCTAGTTTATTTTTACTTGCATCATGAATATCAATCTATAATTTACTTTATATCTGAAATTCACGATAGTATGAGCAAACCTTTCTCCAACTCAACAATCCATCGCTTCAATCGCCTCCATTGCGAATCATTTCAATTCCGAAAAATGCTCTGCAAATAGTGGGGTACATATCGTTTTCTCAACAGCATCTCCAAGATCTTACAGTGTCTGACATGCACAGCTAACTACCGTGTTACAAGCAAATACCGAGTAGCGAACACTCGCATATCTCACACACCCGAAAAAGGCAGTCCAACGATTTACCCGAAGGGCAGGTGCCAATACTTTCATCGCTTGGCATTCTGGAACTAGAGTTTTATAGGAAGGTGACATGTACAGATAGCGGACCCTAATATTTCTTCACAGATATACATAATCAAAACATAATAGAATGCTGGATTTCGATTGTCGTTGCAGTTTTACGCTACATCGCAAATTTGAGAGAGGAATCCAAACACTATGAAATAAGACAGAAAAAAGGCAAAGAGGTCGAAAAAAATGTTGACACCCCGCTCCACCTCCATGAAACAATCTTCATCCCTCCTCATCTCCTTCCTTTTCCTAATGATCATCCTCACAACTCTTATATACTTTCTTCAAACATCCTCTGTATCCTTTGTGTCTCCCCTCTCTTCATCTAATTCACATACCTCCCCATTATCTTCATCCACGCCCTCTATTCCCGAATCCCTCAACTCCTTATCACCTCTTTTTAAAACTGTTCTTTTCTCCGAACATTCGACATATGAAAATCTTTCTCATGAATATGATCATCTTTGGGATGAATTACTTCCACAAAATGGAGGATTTTTGAGGGTTTATGACGAAGATATGAAGTCAAATGGGAAAGAAGATGCGGAAGGAAAGAAAGGAGAAGTGCAAAAAGGGAAGAAACATAAATATGGAATAACTATGTTTCATTCTCTCCACTGCTTGGGTATTATGAGGAGAGGAGTACAGGAATTGTTTAGGGAGATGGAGGAGCTGAAGATGGAAGTTGAGGAGTTGAAGATGGGAAAGATGGAAGATGATGAAGAGATGGACAGCAAGGTGAGGAGGGAACAGAAGAAAAAGAGAGCAGGAGGGGCCCAAGGGCATGGTCATGATTTTGGTCACATGGAACATGGGGATCCACTACATTGGTTGCATTGTTTTGATTATTTGAGACAGGTATGTACAGTTCTCATTCACATTCTTCTTTACTTCTTTGGGGACTCTGGACACCAATCTGGAGGTCATATATTTTGATTGGAAGAAAACATGCTCAAATGTTTGTGTGGGAGTATAATTGCTAGCGAATGGAACGAAGCAGGATATCATGGGATATAATATCTTTCTATGAAGGACTGAAGAACCTAGCACTGACTTCACACCAAAATTCTAGACAGTACTATGCACGGCTGATGGAACACTTGAGCCACCAAAAGCTGATTCAAAAGGAAAGGAAAACGTCGACGGGATGATGGAGAGGCAATGCAAGGACCCCGAAGAGTTGTGGAAGTTGAGCGTTGAGTCTTTTGAGGCAACTAGTTAGATGGTTGATTTTCTAATTATATCAATCTTCTCGTTATCTGCACTCTCATAAATTTTGAGCGTGGGATGCTGTAATTACGGGATTTAAGCGCAATTCTGCCCTTGAAGATGCTTAACCATTCGTTCCAATAACTCTTATGGCATCATTGTAAAACATTTGAGCATTTCAGCAACACATAAAAGGTGATAGTTTTCGATTTGTGAATTCAATGCAAAGTAAAAAGAACCTCTTTTGAAATCACTTCTTTGCCTCTTGAACATCGGGAATCAAGAAAAACGCATGCTCTACGCAAACGTTCAAAAGAGATCTGGATAAGAAAGCCCTCCCTAAAAACGATCCGAATGCTCTCTTAGAAATAAGTGATGCTTTGATACTGTAGAGCAGATCCAAAGTATCATGATCGCTTATGTTGTGCAATACCAAGTCCAACATCATGCTCATCTAACATGCATTTACACTACATCTCGCGCACCACAATATATATGGCCGTTTTCTCACCGCTGCTAAAATGGCTTCGTACCTATGTTCCAAAGATCACAATCGGTTACTCGGCCAGAACATCGTGTGATTACCGGCTTGGCTAGACTCGGCGAATAGAGTGGTAGTAACCTTATTCCACCATTTCTCTGGCCGATTCCCTCATGAATACAGACGCACGATGTGATGAATGAGTTTGAGCATTGCCATGCCGGAGGAACGGAAACGCAAGTTGACTTCTCTCTTAATAAGAGAAAAGCCAAAGTGCAAACAACAAGCTAGATGGCAGTTCATTGGATGATGAGAGAATCGGATCTTACGATATCCTTCATACTCTGTATATCGTACGAGGTGATAAATTTACCCCACGCTCAAGCAGTCAAGCAACCCGATGAGACTCTTGACACCAGTTCCGACACCTTCAGGGTAGAAAACGAGACCTGGAATGAACTACCACTGGACTAGATGAGCTGCGAGAGGATCATATATCCAAGCATTTGCTATATAAAACGGTCTTATTGGTCAGCCAGCAATACTCTCAAGAAGTCAAACAGGTCAGGAAACTTTCCGAATACGTAGCCTTATCAAAGAGCACCTGCCCATACAAAACTACCTCACACCGAAAATTCGCCACCGTCATGCATTTCCAATCCTTCTGTTTTGCATCAGCCACGCTGGCCATCGCCATCATGGCAGCCCCGATCGTTGAACCCAGCTCACTTGGTATGCCTACCGCTCATCCTATATTTGTATTTCACTGACATCGACATGACAGCCGCAAGTCAAGCCAGTGTTCCTCGAGGCTTCTTTAATAACAATGATGCGGGATCAGAGGTGAAGAGAGGATTCTTCAATGACAACGACGCAGGATCTAGTCAGAAGCGGGGATTTTTCAACAATAACGACGTATCAGGTTCCTTGAAAGAGAAGAGAGGATTCTTCAACAACAATGATGTAGGGTTAAATGTGAAACGAGGATTTTTCAACAATGCAGATGCATCAGGTGCTTGAAAGGAGAAGCGGGGATTCTTCAACAACGACGTATCAGATTCCCCAAAGGCCAAGAGAGGGTTCTTCAACAACAAGGATTCAACAGCGGAAGTTTCAGAACGTGATGAGGAGGTTAATGATGATGGGTATTATTACACATATACAGATAGCAACAAGTAAAGGAACAGAAATTCATGGACTGCTCAGTCAGAAGTGGAAGATATGAGGAAATGGTAGTTTTCATCGCAGTGGGAATTATTCTTAGGGTGGTTGTGTTGGGCGGGCTGAAGGACGCACGCGACTGTGTTGATACAGTATTGGATCTTGTCTATTTTCAACATGACAATTATTATTTCTTCTTCATCATGTGGAAATAAATCGCCCTCAATCATGACAATGACACATGTATCTCGTTAATGAAAAAATGCTCGCGAAATAATAAGGAGGAAGTAACTATTAATTAAGTGACACTAAGCAACGAAGACTCATGTTTATAGACGTAGAATGAATACTCATAATTCGTTAAATTGATATACAGAGTTGGGAGGCCAATAGTCTAAACATGAGATGAGCTTAACTGTACTCCTTTCTCTTTTTCCCAAACGCCTTTCCATCTATCCCTTTCAAATATACAGTTAGAAACTTCGGCATCAAGAAGTTTTTGTTACAAGCGGTGACATCCGGCTTGCGAACTTCACCTTAGCAGCTTGTGGACTTTGTGATGCTAATTTTCTCCTCAAAATGGCCATGGTTCTTTTGGGGATCCAGACTCGACTACCCAAAACCACAACGCCAGTCAATAATGCCAGACTTCCAGCTTGATGGGCAGAAGCAAGTGGAGTAGGCACCAAGTATATAAGAGTGCTAATACCCAAAGTAACTTGCATCATCAAAAGATGAACTACGCCAAGCATTCCTTTTGCCCCACTTTTTGGGAGAGCAGCTTTAACTCTAGGGTTGAAGCGTGAATATGCCCATAGAGCGAGAATAGCAGTAAATGAAGTAGTCGCTAGTATGCGGTGGTCTAATTGTACTGTTGATGGATTCTCGAGCATGTTACGCCACCACAAATCACTACGGTCCGGTTGCCTGGAATAAAATTCGGAGAAGAGTTCGGACTTTGGTGGCGCGAATCCCTTGCCCATTCGAGGGAACTCGTTATAGATAAGACCGGCATCAAGACCCGCGACTAATCCACCGGACATAGCTGTTGTGAAGACAAGAAGAGCAAGACCAGCAACGGATTTACGGAATACTGATAGCGAGGACGATGATAGACGAAGGAGATGAGCATGCGCCTGAGCGGGTGTAGAGTTGAACAAAAGTTTGCGATCGCGAAGAATTGAGAGACCGTTCCAAAGCATTGCAGTGTAACATATGAAAGCAGTGCCGAGATGTGTGGTAAGCCTGTATTGAGAAACGCGGGGATGAGAGCCGGGGGCGAAAAGATCGTCCTTCAATCCTGACTTGACCATCCACCAACCAATAGCTCCCTGAAACCCAATGAGTCCCGATATTCCAAGTAAACGAAGAGCCATAGGCTTTGAGACTTTACGACGGGCGACGAAGTAGACCGCTGGAACAACAAAAGAGAGTCCAATAAATCGTCCCCATAATCGATGAAACCATTCCATAAAATATATCTTTTTAAATTCTGCCATAGTCATATGTGGATTGAGAAGCTTGAATTCAGGTGAGGCTCGATATAAGTTGAACTCACTCTCCCAGTCTGCGGCGGAGAGAGGTGGAAGAGATCCAGTGACGGGTTTCCATTCTGTAATACTAAGACTTGAGGGGAGTCAGCAAAAGGCTCTAAAATGACTGCATTGGCAGACCAGAAAAATAAATAAGGCAAAGGAAAGAGACTTCGTCATATCGAACTTACCCAGACTCTGTCAACCGTGTAAGACCTCCAAATACAACGATTCCAAATACACTTGCAGCACTTCCTAACAGCCAATAACCCACTGCTTTCGAACTTGTTTCTGGGAATCTGCTTCGTGACGATTCTTTGTTTATTGCTTGACTTGACTTGCTCAATGATTCAGCCAGCGAACTCAAAGGAGAGGCTCCATTGGCAGATTCGGTAATTGAAGCTATATTACTATTGAATCGTATTGAGCGAGAAGATATAGATTTGGCGGGAAACTTTGTTTGCCGTAATGTAGGACGAGGTTGTTTTAAACATTGGTGACATATAAAGAAATCCCTAGATAACCTAGGAGTTACCTTTCGCAGTCCTGGTAATATTGAAGCCATTGATCAAAAATTGAAGTGAAGGCAACAATAAGAGAGAAAATAAAGTGGCATGTTTTTGGAAATATATTTACCTCATTATTAGTAACCTTGACTCAATCTCGCTCCAGATCTCGAATAATTGTGGATTACCTCAGCCATCGCGAGAAAATTACGGTCACGGGATTTGGCGAAACCGTTTTCTCCGTTACAAAAGTTCGGCGGGTGAACCATTCAAGTAGTAATCAATACCAAGCACAATTGATCGACAGCAAGGGTTCAGATTAATTGAATCCGATCAATCCGAATTGATTATTCTAATTTGACACCAGATTCGCATATCCTGAGTACGACAACGACGAAGACGACGACGTCTCCAATTTTAATGAAAGGGAGGAATTCGTGTCGTGTCGTGTCTACAAATGTAACATAGAATCCAAACAATCTCAATGAATTATATTTGTATATTTCGTTGATCTTACACACATATATTTGGCACTTCATTCTTTACCTAAGGCATGCAACAATTGTTCTCTCCTTTTATTCAACATTTAATTAATACCATGTTCTCAGCTCGCAACACCGATACCCCAAACCCATTTCGACCCGCGCTCCAATACCTTATCAATACTGCGAATTCCAATCTACCACGAACTCGTTCGAATCATCGAAAGAGTTATTCAATTAGTAGTTTGGACTCAGATGGGGAGAGCGCCGATAAGATGTCTTCCCGAAATGCAACGACCTCATCTGAACTTCACCCATCCATCCCGCTCGTAAATATATCTAGAAGTCCTTCCCCTTATCGCCCAAGAGCTGCTTCGGGTCCCGACCCGACATCAGAAAGCGACGAGGAATACGATAATTGGGGCACATCATCCAGGCGGCCTATTCTTTCCGGGGTAGAACCAAAATACACAGGTTGGCGATATGCGCTCTACAGTGGAGGACTGGGTCAATTTCTCTTCAACACAACACTAGGCTGGCGGTTTTATGTCGGAGTTCTGGTATTTTGGTTGGGGGGTTGTGGCATAGGTCTGACTGTCATGAACAGAATAGTTCTTTGGAGTGGGTACCTACAAGAAAATTATACTTCATATACTAAGCTTATGATCTTATTAGCCGGAGTTTATAAGTTTCCCTGGCCTATAACGACTACGTTTATCGAATTGTTGATTACCCACGGATTTTTATGGCTTTCGGCATTCCTTACAAGATTGGCAAGTCCTGTGTGTATCACTGCTGGCGTGTCGAGTGCGGTTGCGCCAAGTACACCTTTACATAATTCGAACTTACCTGGGTTTAGAGGAGAGGGAAAGAAACAAGGGCTACTTTCGACCTTGGGAAGGTTGTCATCTGCAAGTTCCGGAGGTATTGCTGGTGGTGGGCTGTTCGAATTTGACTATGCTGTCGCTCGGCAAGTCTTGCCCCTCGCCATTATCTTTGTGGTGAAACTTATACTGAGCAATATCTCTTTCACTTACGCCGAACTTTCTATATATGTCATGGCTAGGATTGGAATCATTCCATTTTCTCTACTATTCACCGCGATCCTTGGGCAACAACAGCATTCTGCATCCACTATTTCATCAGCTTTGATTGCTACTCTCTTTCTGCTACTAGGCACGATGAAGGCGGGTCTTCGTGCTCCATGGGAAAGTATAGTTGCTGGGGTCTTCTCATCCATTTTTGTCGCGTTATATCCTGTTCAGATTCAACGTACGTATAAAGCGCTGGTCGCTCAACTTGTCCCTCAAGGCGACCTCATAGGGGGTTTCGCTTCCAGTAACGGCCCATCCGATTTCTCTGGTTCTCGCGAAGAAAATCGAGCATACTGGCGTCTGCTACACTATACTTCCCTTCTCTCCATCCTCATTTTCATTCCCATTCTCCTCTTATCTGGTGAACTGCCACATGTCTATCGCAATTGCTATTTCCTGGATGTATTCTTCCATTGGTTGATGGTTCTTTGTGGCGGCACTGGATCATGGGCAGTATTCTGGTGCACAATTGCATTGACTAGAGCAACTGGTCCCCTTACGACAAGTTTTTTGTTTGTGCCAAGAGCTGCATTCTTACTACCAATTATGGCCGGTTTCAAGCTGCCAGCTTCTAATTGGATTGGTTTTGGTATGTGTTGGGCTAGTTGTGCTTGGTTTCTAATCGGACGGGTGAGAGAAGGGAGACCTATTGGAAGATTGAGGTGATAAAATCATTTTCAAAGAAACCGGCATGATTCATTTTATAAAGTGCGGAACATGGGAGTTGGATAGATGTCAGTATAAATTAACGAGAAATTTCACAAGATTTATATCTAAGGCCTCGTGTCTGCCATGATTCGACTATTAGGAAAGCCCTCAAGAAAGCAGTGTGGCGCCATTCAAGCCTGAGCCGTAGCATTTATGAGTGCTTTCACGGTGGCATTCGTAGCATTATTAACTGCCTCCAATAAGGCATGCGAGGTAGAATCAACAAATGCAATAGCGGTGGCATTTGCGGTACCTTTTGTTCCCCCTAGTTCCCCTGCCGAGAATGTTTCTTTCCTATAACAAGTCAGGAATTGGGCCACAGGCCCATTCGTAAACATGTAAAACCATATCCAAGCAATAAGTGGCGTTACAATACTCCTTATACGATGAAACCTCATTTGATTTAACACCTCGGCCAACCGAACGTCTGGAATCTCTTCCACATCATGACATCTGATGTCACGAGACCCCCAGTCGCCTATCAACATAATATCAAATAGAACAAACCTCTCCCAGGAAAGCAAGAGTATGAAACTGTTCAGCAGCGCCATCGTCGAAGGGCAACTACAGAAGTAGGCCCGGTCTCCAGAGGAAGAATAAGCTCAAGATATACGAGTATGAAGATGAGTATATAAAAGCGAGAGATATGTGGAAGATTGCTGTGACAGCGGACTTCTGAAGTTCTTTCATCGTGGCTCGTATGCTGGCATTGTGTCCTGCGTCGTCTTGCTCGACGGATGGATTTATAGGATCCAATGAATCTAAATGCACAGCTGCTTGAGATGCAGTCTCAGTTTCGTGGTTTGCATCTGCCCCCACTTAAGATGCAGAACCATGATCAATTTCTGTCTTGACTGAAATCTGGTGTATCGATTGGTAGTCAGATTCGGCAACGAATTCAGCTGTAGATGTAGGTGTGAGCTGGGGAGAGGATGAGTCTTCCTTGTTTTGTTGATACGGATCTTTGATCTTGTTAAAATTATCATTGCCTGTTGCTGAAGACTGGCTCTCAATCTCTGTGCTATACTTGATAGAACTAGATTGAGGTCGAGATTCGGACTCCGATTCAGACTCAGATTCCTCTTGTCCATCAGATTCAGGTGCAATAGTGGATCTACTGTCCTTCAATAATTTCTGGAATGTGTTCTTTTCTTTGCCTTTGTCCCCTACTGACATCATGGAATCGGTTTCATAATCGGCTTCAGACACGGGTTCGACATCGGCATCAGAGTGTCTATCGTAGATAACACCGGCATTCCTTGGTGGTGGGCGGCGAATTCTCTCAAATTTACCATTTCCATTTTCCTCGTCTTTGTTTTCAACTTTAGTTTTCTATGCATCGGTATTCGAGGATGAGGAGTCGAGATCTGAAGTTTGGGTATCCTTCGCAAGGGCTGCAAGATTCGAAAGGCCGGCTTCAATTGAAGCATCAGATTCAGTGGTTATAGCTTGTTTGGGTGTTAGTCATTTCATTTTGATATTGTGAAAAACGATTTGTTCTCGAGAATGTATGTGAAAAGGAGTTACTTACGAGTATATTGAGAACGACTGCTGTTATGGGCCGTCATGATTATAACATATTCTTCTTTGAATTGATGATTCTTTTGAAGCAATTGTTGTCCCATTTATCTTTTCTTATGGAAGTTCTTGTCTTCGTCTGGGAGCCGGAGACGTCATAGCATAATACTAAAGTCACACTAACATTCACCAAGTAGTTGACAAGTTGGAAATAGTGATCATCGTGAAAATAAGGTAGACTGTTTCTAGTATAGCTATTGAACTATGTTTCGCTAATAGTGCTTGGGAGTTGACCAATATTATTTAGAGTTGGTGATTTGCAAGATTGAGGTTCGTTTTAAGGTGCCGTGCTCTTTGAAGCTCATGTACGTGGAATTATTTCTTTACAAGATGCGATGGCACGGTGCATCGGGAAGCTTCTCTAATTCCTAGGCTCCTCACACTGCCATTCGGCACTTCATTCCACAGTTCGCCTTCTTCATATCTGAATCCTACTATTTATCCGATGCCAAGCTTCACGCTAATACTACCGGCCTGGCGCTAGCCTTCTAGCTTAACGGTTGCTAGGTAAATTCATCCAGATTACCGACCCACACCGGCAATTCTAACAAGACCACGAGATTTTGAAATTCGTCCCCGCTTTCTCATTCGAGGCTGAAATTATATCAATGGAAGATCTAGTTGTACAAAGTAAGTCCTCTTTAGGGGGCTCAGTGGATCCCAAGCAGGAGTTGGTAAAAAGGATAAAGAGCCGAATATCACCGAAGAGAAAAAATATCAAGGTCTCATGAAAGACACAAAATCCAAGACAACTATTTTATATGCTTACCGGAGACTTAATTGGTAAGTTCAGTCGAAAGTAGAGAAAATGTATGAATCCTAATTTTCGATTATACAGCTCTGGAGGGGCAGCTTCTACGCGTGCGCCGATATCCACATGAGCAAATCTCATCGGAAGCCGCTGTCTGGTTCTCGAACAACGTTTGGCAACATGATATATCTCAGCTGGTGTAGAGAGGCTAGAATGAATCACTCACATCACTTTTATTGCACTTCTGGCACGGATCTGAGATTCTTGCAAATAGGTTGGATATGGTATTCAAGACAAGACGAGGTGGGTTAAGCGATTTCTGGCCGACATGGAGTTCTACCACTGGTAGTACATGAGAAAACTTACAGGCATGCCAAAAAATCCGGATATCGAGATTCATCATCCCTGCTGCTTGATTAAAGAATCGAATACCTGAATCTATGTTTCCCAAAAAAAGCAAAGAATTAGCATATGGTTTCTTTTTTCTCCTTTATCCACGAGGCTTTCCCCGCGGAAGGCCCTTGTACCCCTCGCTGTAAACTTTTCAATCGATTGATTTGCTATTCGGAAGCATTCCACGCGATCCGAAAAAAGAGATCCTAGCCAGCCTCAGAAGGACAGGCTAGCAGTCATTTCTATTTCATGGTTGCCCTTTTCGAACTGTTCACAAATTTATCAGTGACCTATCAATTTACTCTTCAATATGACAAGGCTTTGGAATTGGATAACTCATCTTCTTCTAGTGTTTGGATTCTTTGTTGTACGATTCTTGCATCGCATAGACATCGCGCTACCTCTGGCGCACAATTTGGCATCGTAGTACCCGAGAAATTCTTTTCACGGCAACGTGTAAAGCTTTGTTGTTTCTCAAGTTATCCCAACTACTACATACAGATATTCACACCAAGTTATGGCATTTATTCTTACAACATCATACTTCACACACGATCACCATGCCATTATGCGCAAAGTGTAAAAGATTGCATACTTGGATCACTTCCAAGGTGATAATCCGAGCTTCAAAGCCCCAGAATCAGTCAAGCTGGCCCATTTCATGGAATGGATGGGAGCCCCATTTAAATCATCATAGAAATCTAGCCAGCCTCCAGCTTTTTGCTGAGAAGAGTTGCCGGTTATGCCAGATACCATTGCAATTTTTGAACGGCGATCATTACTTAAATTTGGAGTCATGGCGCAAATTTTCACCAGAGAATTCCTATGATTTGTACTTTAGCTTCAAGCTTCTTCGGGGGCGGAATGGAATGGTGATGTATGGAGGGCTCTGTTTACAACTCTACGTGCAGGGGGATAAGCACAAGATCTGGCCTTCGAAACATCACCAAGGACCAGATCCATTGGCATCAAGCACAGTTGACACGGTCAGACAATGACTCAAAGAATGCTCGGATAATCATGATGGATGTCGCGTACGATTCAATTCGAATAGCCTTCCATCGAGGCTAATTGACGTTGGATATCCTGATCAAAGCGGCGATTTCAGTGTGCCACATCTTATAGACACGCATGGATCTTTGCCTTTTGACATGAAAACTGAGAAGGATTGGCAGTATGTCACTTTGAGCCACTGCTCGGGTAAATCGACGCACTTGTCAACTAAGAAAGAAATTTTGAACGAAAGGAAATACGCAATTCCGGTTAACAGTTCAAACAAGCCATATGCAGACGCTGTCCGCGTGACTAGAGAATTACAGATGGGATATTAATGGATCAATTCGCTTTGCATTATTCAGGACTCCGATGAAGATTGGATTGAAGAATCGTCCAAAATGTGCTTCGTCTACAATAACGCTAAATTCAACATCGCCGCTGCAGCAGCGCGTGACGGAGATAGCGGTTTCTTACCAGAGAGATTGAGTGTTAAACTTGGCCATTTTCTTCGCTCAGAAATAAAGACTATAGCGAGAACCTTATGGATTCGATCGTCTCTTCAAATCGGACACGCAACTGGAGAAGTGGGTATTTCTCTATCATGTCCACTTTTTGGCAGGGCCTGGGTACTCCAAGAAAGTATTTTGGCGGCTCGGACGCTGATATACTCACCTGTTGGCGTGCACTTTCGATGTCGCATGAGCAAAAGATCTGACGAAGACCCAGCGAAAGATGCAGGAGATCTTGATATCTTTGTTGGTATTAAGCTTGCTACCTTTCCCTACCTAGCTCTGAACAAAGGAAAAAAGCAATTCTATGCTCCCTGAGAAATAGACACCTGGTACCAACTGCTAGAAATATATTCAGGAAAGCAAATACTGGATAGAATAGACAAGCTCCCAGCAGTTGCTGGTTTGGCGTATCAGCTCGGATCTATCATAGGAGATACATACCTTGCAGGCCTTTGGGCGCGCGATTTTCCGCAAGCATTGTGTTGGCTGCCTCGTCGACCTAGTTATGGATCTTTTTGTCGCTCCACGATGCCGGCTGATTCTGAATATAGCGCCCCTTCATAATCATGGGCATCGCGCCATACACTCTTCAATTATGCTACCGTGGCTTTCAAGAGCACTAAACCGCCAACAGAAAATTTACCACTTAGTTGTTACTCTTATCCAGATTCCGAGGACACAGATATTTTATGGGATGCAATGTTCGTAGGTGCCCACATAGACTTCGTTTCCAATCACTATGGGCCAGTGAAAGTTGGATCAATCACTTTCAAAGGTCATCTTCTTAAGATTGATATTGCTTGCTTCGTAAGTCCATTTCGAGAAAACATCGCTGTGTACAACGGGCTGGCATTAGGAACGTTTTACGCTGATGCAAAATTGGATTTAAGGAAAAAATACTGGGTCCATCTATTAGAATATGAGCGTCGCAAGATCACCGTCAAATCTTGGAGTTCGGCGAAAGAATTCACTTTGGTGCTGTTGAAGCAGAGAGATGGAATGGAGCGAAGAATCTGCCTGGGATTGATTTTGATGGGTTTCGGGTGTGGCTCATTCAAACGTGATGCATACTTCCAGAAATTTGATGCATTATGGCCACCTAAGACCAGAGACGTCGTAATCTAGTAATCTGCGGAGGTTCTATGAGAATCGTCGTCATCGTTTTGAAAATTAGGATTTCTATTCGCTGAGAGAGGTGAATTCGATGAGCGGATTAAGTTATGAGATTTCAGCTATGAAATCTGTCTCTGAAGTAATAAGATCTCATCTGTAATGCTAAACATTCCTAATTATACTGTCGTACAATGGTGTCAAGATAGAAAAGATAGAACAGAGATTCTACTGCCCAACGTTTGTGAATCTCAAATAAGGCTTTACCTCTCTAACCTCTCCAAACTTCTTCCGCGCATCTTCCGTCTTGACTGTTGGTGGCACAATAACATCATCTCCTACCTGCCAATCAATGGGTGTAGTGACGCCTTTCTTATCTGCCGTCTGCAAACTATCAATGACCCTCAACACTTCCTTAGTATTTCGCCCACAGCTAGCTGGGTACATCATTGTAAGTCTGATCTTTTTAGCAGGATCGATAATAAAGACGGAGCGAATGGTGAATGCAATGCCTTTTTGGTCAATGTTGGTCGTGTCTTGAGCGTCAAGCATATCGTAGAGGTAAGCTACTTTGCGGTCCGCATCGGCGATAATGGGAAATTGCAGTGTGGTTCCAGAAACTTCGTTGATGTCTTTAATCCATTCTTTGTGGGAAGGGAGAGGATCTGCTGACTATTTCAAACCAACCCAGATATCAGCATGCAATATGCTGAATGGAGTTCCTATAAATGTCATGAAATGATAGCATACCAACCCAATCATGTTCACGTCCCGTTTCTCAAATTCGTCCTTCAGTTTTGCAAAAGCACCAAGTTCAGTCGTGCAAACTGGAGTAAAGTCTGCGGGGTGGGAGAACAAGATTGTCCATTTATTGTCGATAAACTTATGGAAATCAATAGGGCCTTGGGTTGTTTCGGCTTGGAAGTTGGGTGCTGTGCGGGATAGTTGTTAACATTCAACTGAAATACAGATAAAGTCAAGCTTTCTAGAAGATATTGAGTGATTAACAAGACCATACCTTCAGAGCCCAATCTCAATCGCGGTTGCTCAGGTAAAGTATTTGTGGTGGTCAGGAATCGTTGCGAAAGAGGGGCAACAACTTGAGCTCTGAAAGAGTTCTGAATAGGAGAAGCGCGGGGCAATGCACGAATTGTTCTTGGAACTACACGAGCAAAAATGGAAACCATCGTGATATGACTGTGATCCAATTGAATAAGACGAGTGTAGGTTTAAGGGAGTGAAGCTGTCGATGTATGTTTCGAGTCAATTCAATAAGATGGTAACGGCGAACCGCTTGAATGATATGTGACGTGATCACTTCAGGGGTAGGAAGGCTAAAATGCAAGGCTAGGGTAACCTCATAGGATGTGGGGTAAGATTACAGCAAGGTCGAGATTCACTCCAACTCACTATCGTGAGGACATCGCCAACTAAAAACTTCATTCTATTTCACAAATCTTTTCAATGATAAAAAACGGCGTTCTCTTGACTTTAAATACTGGTCAAAACACTCGAACCGGGTATTTATATACAATCTATGTCCAATAGATCAAGTTATCGTATGTACTTGGGTGCATATTGATGTTTTCAGGGATTATTTTTGAACACTATGTGTGTATATATATATCTGAGTATTGCATTCGTTGTCATGTGTGTATAAACCCTTTCTTCTGGATGTACATCGGAGGGGATACTTTTGATAAAATTTTCAGAAATTTGATGCCAGTGGCAACTTACTTTTTGGACAGAGCGTTCGTGAGTTCAAGCTGGCGAGGAGCAGTTGGGTCCCTTGAGATTTTGATCTTATAATGGTATACGTTCGAAAGAGACGCTGGTTTTTTGTTTGTTTGTACTACTTTGCTATCATTGTAATCATTCTCTTTGCTGCATCGGGTGTAGATTCCAGTACAAGCTACCGGAATTCATCTTATTCGCCTATTGAAAAAGAAGCAGAGGCAGAATTGGTAATAGCATCACTCACCACCATTGGGTTTTTTGCTCGAGCTCCAGTAGAGATCATTGCATCGAAAGTAACACCGTCTTTATATGTTGCATGATATGTATGTTTCGCCGTTCAACTATGGATACTGGCTGCATTCAAGCTTGCGCGGATTGATTGCAACGTCAGCTGTCACATATCACGATCTTTCCTATGGCGAAATGAATTTGAAGATCAATCTTTTATTTCGATATCCATCTACGGATATGCCTAGTTGCCCATTCCAATGGATTCTACCGTCGCGAGAAGACCAGTGGTCAACATGTTGTGTATTGAAGGAGGATACATTAGCGAATCAAAATCTTTATTTCGGGCAGTCCAGGACAAGCTCCTACATACTTGTCCTACTTTATTTGATGTTGATTGTCAGATTCCCACACTAAGATTCATCTATGGATTTGGGCCATGAGGAATTCAGCCCTCATAATGACTGCGTCATTTACTACGAAACTGCGATTTAGAGACTTCTATATGCCGAAGATATCTATGGCCAATCATGTGTATTAGCAATCTTACTGTTGTCAATCATCAGGGAGATTCTGATCTGGTTAATGGCGCCAAAATTGAAACAATCAAGGTCCGTGTTGTTAGTTTTCCTTCCCCCTAGTTCTTGGCGTATAGTAACTCAGGCTGGGAGGAAGTTCAAAAAGTTCAACGGCTTGCGAAACATTCCTAAATAGTGTATTGCACCATCAAAGTCTTCATATAAGGGCTTGATTATGCTGGCTAGGGGTGTATGGAGACGTGGAGATGCGCAGGTCGGAGTGGGGATTTCTCTGCAGCGTTGAAGATGAAGTGGTGAACCTAGAGTCTCAGAAAGTGTCGAAAAAATCTATCAGAGAAATGTTTAACCGCAAGGCTTCGTACATGGGAATTCTGTCTGCAAAGGCCTTGACAATATCTTGATAATTTCAGCAAACTGTCAGTTGATATCTTCTTTGCTCTCTTTTCTCTTAACCTACACGCTATGATTTACTCCAGCCTTCTCAGTAAGCTTGTTGCAGCAGCATGTGTCTCTCACGTATCCACCGCTCATCCTGGTCAAACAGTCCAAGAGCTGCAAGGTGAGATTGTTGAGCGTAATATCTTCTTTGAGGAGACGAACACGTCTCGTGATCTCAGCCACTGTGTGGATATCCTTTGAAAGTGTGGTGTGGAGGACAAAAATAGAGAGTGTATTGCGGCTGCTGTTGCCCGAGCTCATGCTGACTTGGGGCTTCCACAGAGTAAGACTCAGTGCATTCTGAGATTGAGGAAAGACCTTAATCAAGCACACAGAGAAAGCGCCCATCAAAGCTAGAGCCACAAGTCCTGTTAGAATCTCGCATCTCTCTGGTCTCGATGTCACCCCTACTATGCCCAACGTGGAAGAGATAATTTATAGCAACTCTTCTTGTATTCTGTCACTTGAAGGAGAGAAAGGTCCATTCTGTAAGATTTACATTTAGCTGCGAATCAGCCACTCCACTAACAATGGCCAGACGTATCAGGAGAGCATATCCGTAGCGATCTTCGCGAAACTCGGGCTGGCGTTCCTCTTGTTATAGACGGTCGATTTCTCGATACTACTGCATGCGAGCCAATGCAAAATCTTTACTAGGATATTTGGAACTGTAAATCTACCGGCGTTTATGGCGGCATTCCAGCCAGCCCTATAAATGGTAATGCCGGAGATGCTTCTAATATAAACAAGACTTTTCTTCGTGGCCTTCAACCAACGGACGTTGAAGAAGTTGCGCAATTTACTTCTCTCTTCCCGGGATATTATGCGGGTAGAACAACTCATGCATGTTGTTGCACACATTGGAGGTACCGTATGATCTAACGGCACATATAATGGCGGGAAAGTCTCCCATATCGGGCAGGTATTTTCCGATCAGAGCTTGATTACCAAGGTGGAAGCTTTGGCTCCTTATAACACCGACACACAAAGGTTGACCGCAAATGCTACCCATAGAGTTGTGGCTGCTGAATTATGTTTTTTGGCATGCCATTCTCTTTTGTGCTTTCCATTTTCTTATGTCATAGCTTCTGGTAACAGAATTATGATGGTAATTCAGTCGCTTAGATTGCTGGTGGCTCGGACCCATTCTTCAACTATGTCTTGCTTGGTGATACAATATCTGATGGGATATTTGCCTGGATCACCTTTGGTGTAAATCAAGGTGCAACCTACACAGCTAGTGCTGCTGCAAGACTCACTGCCAATGATGGTGTTCCCATTGCTGGAGGAGGTCGTCCACCTATTGCATAGTCGGACGAGAATGTGTTTCATTGAGAGATTGAAGGACTATTCAATTATCAACCTTCTTTAATCATCATTTGAATGTTAGTAGCTAGTCTGGATGCTCTTTTGGTGATTTCATTCTGAGTTCTCTTGTCGGATCCATTTTGTCAGAGACAATCTCTGAAGAAGAAAGCGGCGTGTTTGAATGATAAGCCCAGTTTGGTTTTGTCTTGGTGGACTGAAAGGAAATGGATAAACATTCCTTACAGTGTTCTAATGCTAGAAATTATAAGAAGATTCGTAAAAATAAGTTTCTTTGTGAAATCTTGTCTATTTATGTAGGATTGATGCTTGCAGTCATGATGATTTTGAACCTACTTCCATTTCTGTCCTCTCGTGTTGCTAACAATTTTATGTCCACATTGAGGGAGCTTAAATGTCTTTTCATTTCTATTCAAAATCTCCAACATTCATCTTTTCTCACGCATACTCATGTAATCCACTGCTTCAATTTTCATTTCAGCCAAATCCTTCAAGCTCCCATTCAATTTCCACAATTCGTCTCTTAACGTTGTGAGGTTACGACCCATCGATGTCAAATAATCCCAAACATCAGTCCACGCGCGACGAGTTGCAATTATTAAGCTTGGAAGCATAGATATATCAGCCGAAGTCTCCTTGGGTACCATTTCTTAGGAGATTTGGGCAGCATTCAAGAGGATTTGGGTTTTCTCGATGGCATGGAGAATATCTGGTAATCGCGACTTGGTTTGTGCTTGTGGTCTACTCGGTGAAGTTTTCTTCTGTTGTACAATTTGAAGTCGTGAGATCTGAATAAATATTGTTCCCGATGGGTGAATTAGTCACGTCGCTTGCGGCCCCCTTGGATGAGACCGTAGCTCCACTGGTAACTGTGTTAAATTCACCACGCCCCCCTCCCCCATCTTCCTATTGGCCTCCTTAATCTCAACTTCCGTTTCTTCGATTTCTGCGTTCTTAAATTCATTGTCTGCTGCCCCTTTCATTTGGAGTCTTGTCCAACAGTCCTGGTAGATGCATTCAACTCCGAGCTCGTGCTCGAGATTATCCTTCGACTTCTGGCAGATCGTCTTCATTTCCTCAATCTATAAAGGCGCGCCTTTCTTCTCTTTCGCAATCTCACTTTCATAAAGGTATCTTTAGAAACGAGTGTCATCTTTGAGTGACGCAGACATAGCGAGAATCATGGCTTCAAGACCAGGAGTCCAGTCGTACCTCCCATGGCTCGCTTGTGTCGTTAGCGTGGTGGGACATTGCAGATGTACAAATCTTGTGTGTTGGATAGGTGGGTGGATAGTTCGAGTTGATTGAAAATGAGAAGAGAGATTAGGATAAGTATGAATTAGTACTTTATACTATATGAATTATCTGTGTTGGAAAGCTCGAGATTCTTTGATAATTAGCTCATTCCACCTGGTAATTCATGCCTAGCCCGTCGCTGCTCTTTCCTTTGTTCTCTTGCACCAACCGAGACTTCATTCTTACCAGATGGAACTTTGAATCAATATATGTGAAAGAAAACATCTCAACTATTCTTATTGATCAGTTCTATGTGTGTTGCGGATTCCGGAGTACGATTTTTCAATGTCCAGATAACGTATGCGAAATTCTTTCATGGAAGTGAATAAACTTACTTTTTCTAGTGGAATCATAAGAGGGAAATTCAATAGGTAGAAGCACCCTTGGATATACGAAGAGAAGATATAGTATTAGTAATTCAGAGGATCAAATAGTCTCATCCTCTTGGTAAAGGGTAGTTTTGTTTATTTTTGACCTATCGATAGAATAATATGTGTTACGAGTGCTCTTTGAGCATTCAACTGGAATTTCATTGGCGAGACTTTAACAGCTTACGAATCTGACTTTTATTTCTTTTGAAATAGTATCATCAAACTCAAGATATAATGCAACAATAATAAAGAAAACATAAAGGTGGCAAATGAATGACTGATTATCTAGATGTGAATGGCTTAAAACTTCCCCAATAATGATTTTAAATGGCCCTGTATGCCCTACGATAGATTTGGACCATAGGTCTCCTTCTCTCATAGAAAGGAAAACCCGATTTTCATTATCTGCAACCGAAAATATTCTTTCATTCCTTGTGTAATAACCTTGAACCGCAATCAAGGTTCGTGTCCAAGGTTTTCGAGGCTTTGGATGCTTGGGCTCTCCAGGAATAGTTACTAGTAATGGATTCTTTCTGCACCACTCTTCGATTCGATCATTTAGACCCTCAGTCAGTTCAACCCAGATTTTCGGCCCTACATTATCGCCTGATTTTGGGCCGTGACGTCGGAGGTAATCTTTCTCTAACTCCATCAATCTGTGATATTTTCCCGACATACCTGCAGAGTTTGAAATTGAAGGCTCGGGATTCGATGGATTTCGACTTTTGGTCTTTCAAGTGTATCTTTACTTGCGAAAACGAGATTAGTATACAAAATCGTAGACCTTAGCAAACTAGGCAGCGACATAGTCTGCTATCAAAGGTCGTCATAAAATTCACACCGTACCACATATGAACCGTCTTTAGAAAGAAAAGCATCTGGAGTCGTCAGAATTCAACAGCCCCAGTTGCTGGCCAGTGATCGACTTGAGAGCAGCCAAGATGTGCAACAATTCGGACGAGTGTTCTTCGAAGTATGAACTCAAAACGGATATCGAAGAGCTTGAATTCCATTTATTAGTAAGATAGGTGCACGTCTGAGTAAGCAATCGGATATAAAAGCTCCCTTTTGTCAAACTTAGCGATGTTTCGTTGATACATTCAGATTTGTTCTGGACTGTCGAGGCCCCCTTAAGTGGACAATCTGCTGTGACCGCTGAAAAAAATCAATTAGGCACCAGACCACTTGAAAAGCGACCGCATTGCTTCTTTTGAGGGGGGGGGGAAGGGAAAATTGTTCAGTTGTTGCACATTGTAATTAAACGCATCTGTGCCGAATTTTAAGAAATAGAAATAAAAAAGAAGTGCTCATATTATGTCGATACTACAAGGGTCTTTATCGACAGCAATTAGCCAGAGCAGACAATACTGAACATTCTGAATTTATGTTGCAAAGACCAACTTTGATTCGAACATTTCTCAACCTGTTACAGCTAATCGGAACGAAACATCAAAAACCAAGTGATGTAAAAAGAAAAATAACAGACCTGGTTGGCGAGGTCATAGATGAGGAGTAAGCTTGGTCTTCCCAATCTTAAAGGACGAGTCTTCCTGACTTGTCTCCCTAAGATCCTCAACATTCAGGTTGTCTAACCGACTTTCTACATAATGTTACATCACTATCACAGTATTAATGAGCTAGCAACACAAGAACTCTAGACCTTTACTAAAATCGATATGATCTATAGTAGAATTACGCTAGTTTCTGCACGGAGAACTGACAACTCCGTACCATCAATAAGGGCGTCTCAGGAGCCGGAAATGCGTCAGAGTTATTTATGTGACAGCCCCGGCATGGAGAAGTATGTGAGAAATGAAACCTTCCCTAACAAGCAAATGGTGAGACTGATATGCTGTCCAGTTGTCAATATAAAGATCCAAAGATAGATATGATATATGCAAGAACAATTGTTGAATTGCTAATACGAGAAGGAATTGTGGCTATGCCCCCACTTACTAGCACCCGCACCCGCATATAAATGCAACGTTAATCACAATCCCCACAGCCACGATACTGCGCCTATCTACTCACAGAAATTCTACGGCATGGGTATTCTAGATAATAGATAATGGATCTTGTCGTGCAATTCGTTTATGATTTTTAGAAGTTCTCAACTTGAGACTGGCTAGTTCTAGATTTCAAGCCGAAAATGAATCGGGCACAACAAAATCGGGTGTCTTCCAGACCGGCGCCTAGGAGAAGACGATACAATATTTTGTTCTTGGGAAATACTGGATCTGGGAAAGCTAGCATGAAGAATAAGGTAAGGCCCGGATCTTTGAGACTTCATGAGAGGGGGAGTTGACAGGAAGATAGATTGTTTACAATGATTTCCGTGTGTCCAATAATATCTACGATCCAACTCTCGATGATAGTCATCAAACACACATCGCTATCGGTTCCGAACAATGTATCGTAGATATTGTGGAATTGGATTACGATGATCGATATGCTGGTTTGTTTAAGCCACTGATTAGACAAGCCGATGGGATAATATTGATGTATTCAATCTGTTCGCCCGAATCCTTCTCTGTTCTAGAAGCCCTCTGGACTCTGGTGAAACTTGTGAAGGTACCAGAAAAAAAGGGGTTATATGTGGACGTAGTCGGGACTATGAGTGATATGTGGGAAAAAAGAAGTGTTAAGACCGAGGATGGGAAGGCATTAGCCGAAAGGCTAAATTGCGGGTTCTCAGAATGTTCTGCAAAAGAAGGCGAGAATTGTGACGTTCCAATTGAGAATTTGATTAGAAAGATTATGGTTGGGCACGAGCAGGAGCAGATTTTGAGAGATGCGAAACGAAGAAAGGAAGACAATGAAAGGGAGGAAAGAGAGAGGAAGAAAAATGGAATTTTGAAGAGGGTTTTGAAGAGATGTGTGGTATGGGTTTTTCATTGTACTTCATTAATACACGAGAGCTTGCTGACGAAGAGAGTAGGAAATAATGACCATGGGAACTTGAGTCGGGGAATTCTTGATAGCACAACACAACACGAATCAATGGAACATTTAACGATTAAAAAACGAGAACTACTGTGCTCAATTGCATTTGCTGGGGGCTGTGGATTCCCACTTCGTTTTGGTAGGCAAGATGTTGTTCGGATTAAAGACAAGACCGGTATGGCTAGTTTTACGATTCAAAGTCAAATTATTTCTCTCAGAGGAAAATAGCTATAAAGTGCTTCTTTGCTGCCTCTAAATTTGGTTCAGAGCTCAAGAAAAGCTCAGGCTAAGATGATACCTAATTCGCGACCCGCTTAAACCTCTTGCCATTATTTGGCAGTGTTAGTGCTGAGGTAGTCGTGTTACTTGCCCGACACATTCTACCATCGGCCGCTATACTCCATGCCTCACTACCCACTGCAGTTGTGGCGTAAAACAGTTGATTTGGGTCCCACTTATTTTTAATCCCTAGTAACTTGCTGTAATTCTCTCCATAGAAAGTTTGCTGCCAGTCTGGCTGTCTGAAATTACCTTCGTTCAAATAAGTTCCTCCCCCAGGAGTGAGCACTTCGAATTGTGGAATAATCTCATTGATCATATGATATTGAGCAGCTACCATCTCAGATATTGGCGCAGAAAAGTTCCATGGTGTAGTCAAGATGACATGGATGAGGGCATCACGCCAAGCTGGGAGTAAAGCATTATCGGCAGTAGATGTAATGTAAGAAGATGAGACATTCAGAGCTACGCCTGTGTAAGGTATACCTGCATTTGTAACATTACGAATAGTTGCGACGTAAGCTTTAGTATTCTCCTGGACGACGCTTCTTGATATCAATCGACCACCACCGGTATTAACTCCTGGTCCACCCCAAGGACCATAAGGGAGAGGCCCAAGATATTGATTGTAGTGATCAAGATATGTTGGGTTCTGTGTGTACGCAACTGTAAAATTGATACCAAGAGTTGTGAGTTTGTCGGTGAAATTGGCCAAGAGAGCTTGGACGTCAGCTTTAGTCTTGTTATATACTGTCATACCAATAATTCGGAAAGCTGAAGACGAAGCGCCATAGCCAACCATAGTTCCTGCATCGACCATTTCAGGAAGATAAGTATGGAAGGCTTCGACGCCGTTCCAGAAAGTTTCAATACTCATATTGCCACCACTTGCCGAAAATGCTAAAGACGCGCCACTGACTATTGTGTCAGGATATACTCTCACGGTTAGAGATATGATGACTCCATATGTACCACCACCGCCGCCACTTAAAGCCCAATAAAGGTCTTTGTTTTCGATTCGTGAGGCAGTGACTACATCGCCACCGGCCGTTACAACTTCCCAGGAAAGCGCTTGATCGGCACCCATACCAAAATTACTAGAGAGTGCCGAATGACCACCTCCTTGTGTGTAGCCTCCGGCAATTCCAACAGTAGGACATTCGCCACCTACTGTTACAAAGCCTGCATCATGAGCAGCCTCTAATGCTTCAAATCCTTGAATGCCAGCACCAATCTTCATGGCCTTTCCGGTAAAATAGTCAGATTTCCAGTCAGAAAATGATATATTCTTCAAGTTGTGAGTCCAAACAGCTAATGAGCCTGCACCGGTTGACTTGCCCAAATAGCTTGCATAATTTTAGCTAATGCACAGTATTCGAGCTTCTGAGAGAGGAACTTACTCGTGACCAGTATTCCGGATTACAAAACGTATGTTATGATTCTTTGCGAATTGAATAGCAGCAACGGCATCATTGGGTGTCGATACATTGACAACATAATTAACCAAGTTTCCCAAGCGACAAAGACTTTGTTCGGGAGAAAAGGGGTCGCAGCTCTGATTCCCAAGTGTCGCAAAGTATGGAGCGATCAAGGAAGAAGATGAATTCCAACTAGATTTAGAATTAGAAAGTTCATATGGTATAGATGATAACGCTGCGAAAGACTTACTGCAGACTTGGGTTCGCCCAGTTTGCTTGTAAATATGCGCATTCCGTTGCATTATAACTAGGTCCATGGCAAGAGCTTGCGATAGGGACTGTAGCTACTAGCCTACCATTGACTGTGTTGTTGAGATTGTTCCACTCTGTTGCAGATGGCCATGATTGGTCTTCAGGCAGCGCTCTACAATTGGTCTTTTGGACAGTCTGCGCATATGATGTGCAAAACAAGTGTATAAGAAGAAATACAATCCTATGAGATGCCATCGTCTGTATCATATAAGTCTAGTTCCTACTGAATGGTAGAAGGATGGAAAGGTGTGAACGAAGTTGTCAAGATGAGGTGAATTGTACTTACATATATGTTTTCTCGTGGTGTGATTCTCATATCTTCAAGGAGGGGTACTCTTCAGCTGGCTGCAGGTACTAGTACCAAGAAGGGAGGAAAGTATGGATATGGATCCACCTCATGCCACCTCTCGAATACCCCGTCCAATAAAAGATGACGGCTTACACGTGGCTAAGATCTGGTACGCATGGCCATTCACATCGTGTGAAGCCCAAAATTCAGAAGCAATTCAAGCCCTGACGATTGATAATTCAATAGTAATTGTATCACTATATTTGCCACCTTTTCATGACTCTGTCGCTTCAAATGAAATGAAATATATGTATAGAAAATCCGAGGTCTCTCATAATCAACAACCACGATTCTCCGATACCCCTGTATCGTCAATCGATTTCGTGCATTCTGCATTACCAATCATGGAGAAGATATGTCATTTCAGCATCTTAACTGGTATGCGGTTGTCAGCAAAATCGAACACAAAGCTTTTACACTTCAATCGATTTGATATCGAAACAATAAAGTATTCCTGAAGAGAGATTTAATGCCGACAACTTGATTGACCAAAGCTCTTATTCGTTAATTTGAAAGACATCAAAATAAATAAACAAATTGATCCAAACTCAATTGTGAAGCAGAGCTGTCATTAAATATCCTCTTACTCTGGCAGCCTTAGTGCTCGGATTTTCTGGACAGTCCCCAGCGTAGTAATTTTGCCTAAATCAGAGCGAGCAACGAGGATGACATTTCTCATCTTTATAAAATTGCAACATTTGAGTGCAATACGAGAAAAAAGTATTGATATGCCATGTTATCAAACGAGAATGATTCTGGGACTTCTGGGATGTAAATAATTGATTGTGCCCTTACGCATCGAAAAACCCCCATCGGTGAAATTGTCTGGTGAGTTCATTCAAAGATGACTGAAACTCAAGAGCTTTTGAAGCTTGATCTTGATTATTGTGATATCTAGAAAAGCCTTCAAAACCCCGTTTGACAAAGTAGACTATCCATAGAGTCTTGAGGAGTACTAACTCACCCAATAGTCATAATGAAGACTAAGCTAATTCATTATTTAGCATTTGGACTCCAATATCGTTGGTTTTGAGTCAAATTTGAATATTGAAAAGGATTGGATCGAAGTTTTGCAGATGTTGTAGGGAATACTGTGAGGTTGTAGATGTGCAATCTATTTCGTTCACGGCGTACACACTACTATACTTAGCAAAGTACCACTCGCTGCAATTATCCACCCAATAGTGTCATTTATCCTGTATGTGAGCCGAAGAACAAAAAGTTAATTTTGTTCGCGATTGTGAATTTCCAGTCAAAAATGACTATCGAGTTGATGGAGCAAAGTCTCATACTTCAAAGGTGGTTAAAGTGTTGCGAGATGACCTCAAACCAATGATAAGCCACGGTCGAGATAGCTAATATTGAAGATCGAAAAGTTTTCCCAGTTATGAGTTCGCTGAGTTCGCTTTATCCACGAAGATTGGGAGAAACCTAAACAGCTGCTAACAATAATACAACTGAAATACAATTTGAGAGCCCTGAATGTGATTTGTGTTTCACTACAAATATGGAACCATGAAAGACTTACTTCACCACAAGATTACCACAATGCGGGCCTTGTACCTCCGTGAACAGGATGAGGACAAATCATACAAAGGCTAGGCAAATATTCAGATTTAGTGTTACCCCGGATTGCATGATAGATTCTCCAATCACTAAGCATATAAGCGAGCTAGGTCCACCCCTCAATCTCAATTGAGTAAAGCCTCCGCCATAGAAAGCAATCCTTGTAAAACGAATTGTCTTGCAGTATCTTTGAACAATCATTTGATCTTCATGCTTCCCGGCATCTCGAGTAAAGCTGGAGAGTACTGGTTCCGTTTTTTGGGGGGGGGGGGGGGGGGGGGGGGGGGGGGGGGGGGGGGGGAAGGGGGTGGTCTGAGTTGCTGTGTAGTTTGTATTTTGCGCGTCGTAAAGCTTTTGGGCCCAGAGCTCGACTGTAGACATATGAACAAATGAGGTTGTACATAAAGTATCCGGGTCCCCTTTTTTTGTATGGATAAGAATCCGAATCACCTTGTTAATAATAGTGAATTGTGATGAAAGACGCTCTATGTCATAATTAGAGTCACGTCAGATTAGCCGCAAATATTCAACAACTCAAGAACTCACTTCCAATTCTTAAAAATCTGCGATCGTCGAAACATTCATTCTTGTAGAAGTTTGCTGCTTGTCAGGGAGCAATTTTCACCATGTCTGCGGATGAAAAGATAGGTGTTGGAACGCACGAAGAATATGAAGGTTTTATAACGAAAAAGAAAAGGAACGATAGAACTAATAATTCGATCATAGAACGATAAAATGGATGCGACCCAAGTTAAACTGGTGAAGGCGATGAGGCTTTCACGCAGGCAATGTTGAAGAAGCCACCCAAAACATGGTCAGGACGATCCTTCATACTATACGCTTGTGCGCTAGTGGCTTTCTTTTGCAGCATATGCAACGGATTCGATGGCTCTATGTTCAACTCTCTTCTCGCAATGGAGCATTTTAGGACGTAATTCAACGTGGCCAACGACGGTGCTTGGACTGGAATCGTTACTCCTATGTATTCGATCGGCAGTGTGGTGGCTATTCCTTCTATAGGACCGGCGATCGATACTTGGGGAAGAAAGGTCGGAATCTATATCGGAGCTTCATCGATTATGCTGGGAACTATAGTCCAATCTACCACGATCCACTCGAGTATTGTTATCGGGCAATCCATGGGCGGCAGGTTTCTGCTTGGATTTGGTGTGGGGATTGTTGCACCAGCGGGCCCAATGTAAGTAATAATAATACTCGGAAAAATCTGGGAACGTTATTAGCTAACTCATCACAAGGTATGTTGGCGAAACATCACATCCTACCCACCGGTTTGTTGTCACTGCTGTAAGTCGAGTGCATCTTTATAAAGATAGGGAATTGTGACCGACTCGCCTCATAGTTCTATAATACCTTTTGGTTAGTTTGTCTCACAAAATGATATCATTCCCGCTTTACAAGGGAACGATCTCTCATATCTCCATCAAATACCTTATATATCCCATGCTAACATATTCTAAGGTTTGTTGGCTCAATTCTTGCTTCGGGATCTGCACGAGCAAGTGCGGGCTTATCCAGTAACCGGTCCTGGCAAGTTCCAGTCTGGCTACAAATGTTATTCCCGGGTCTTTGTATTATCCTAGTATGGGCCCTTCCCGAGAGTCCACATTGGCAATATGTGCATGGATAGCGAGACAAGGCGAAAGCGATGCTTGCACGATACCACGGAGAAGGAAACCCAAATAGCATCTGGGTCGAATTGCAGCTTGATGAATATGAAGAGTATCTGGAACTGGATGGAGTAGACAAAAGATGGTGGGATTATCGAGCACTGTTCAAAGACAAAGCTTCATGATACCGTTTGGCATGCAACTGCACAATTGCTATATTCGGACAGTGGGCTGGCAATGGTATGGAATCTACTCCATTTGGTCGATCTGATTGTATTGACTTCGTGCAAAGGTCCAATTTCATACTTTATTTAGGCTGTTCTTGATACCGCAGGAATTACGGATTCCACTACACAGCTGAATCTCAACTTAGGTTTAAATATCATGCAGTTTGGCTTGGCTTTGTTCGGTGCTTCCCTCGTAGATAAAATAGGTCGTCGTCCTCTACTTCTATTCGCAAACATTGGATGCACTATAGTATGGATCGGAGCCACAGTTTCATCATCCATCAACGCCAATACAGGTAGCAAGAGCAGTGGCTCTGCTGTTGTGACGATGATTTTCCTCTTCGACGCGATTTCCAGTGTAGGTTTTACGCCGTTGCAAGCATTGTACCCTGTAGAATCCCGAGTTTCGAGATGAGGGCAAAAGGAATGGCATTTAGCAACTTTTCTGTGTCGGCAGGTATGCTGTCTCTGTACTAGTAATGCCTTCTTTCTGTGACAACTAATGACTGTGATAGCGACCCTCGTGAACCAGTTCGCATATCCTGTGGCTCTGGAGAAAATCAAGTGGAAAACCTATCTCGTCTTTGTGCTTTAGTGTCCAATATAGGCGCTTGTGATTTATTTCTTCATTCCTGAGACGAAGAACCGCACTGTACGTTGACCTCAACATTTAAACGGTAACATGAGAATAAATCTGACACTGCACTTTAGTTGGAAGAACTGGATAGCAAGCACGTGACACTACAACGAAAAAACTACATGTGAATGAACATCAAGATAGAAGCGCCACACATAGTTCGAAAAAGACGGACACGCTCGGGGAAATTCTGATGATAAGCTTTCTTGGCTATGTCTTAGCCGCCTTGGCATTAGACTTCACTTGAATTGAATTCATTTGAGAGGACATCAGTAAAGACTTCAAACTGTGTAAAACAAAGTAGAGGTGACTTTGTAAAACTAATGATTCAGACTCAGCAAGAGTGGTAATATTACAGAATGCAAAATAATGCTCCAGCCCATATACACGCTTATTCAAAATTAATCATAGAAACAACCATAGATATCTAGAACTCGTTGACCTCATCATTGACAACGTTGTTGATTCCAGAGTCCAATTGGGAAGGCACTCCCTCCTTACTCGCAAATGAGTCGACGGCTATGTCATAGAATGTTAAAGCTAACCAGGACAAATTAGGTGGACGAGAACATACCGGAATCTGCCATGGTGTCTTTGGTGCTATCGCTAATGCCACCACTGGAGTTGTTGCTGTTATCATTCCCGTTATTTCCACCCTGCTGTTGCATTTCACCCTCTCCGAACTCTTTGATATCTTCTCCGAGACCCATGATAATGATCGGTAGGAGTAAATGGTGGTTTAGGTGTTCTAAGGAAACTGTCAACATAAGCTGAGAAGGGGCATAGATAAGTAGCACAATGGAAGACTCACTGGTGGATTGTTGACGGCTTTGAGTTAAATTCTGCGCGGGTGGTGTTGATGGTGAAAAGGGTGAGAGCAGAGGAGGACGGATTATCAAGGCATTTTATATTTCGCTGCTCTTGCTGAAACCTGAAATTCTTAGAACAAAACTTGCTTAACAGCTCGCCTCAAGAGCTTTTGCCTCAGTTTCACTGTTACATCACAATAGATGCATCATGATGCACCTCACAATATATTAATCTCCATATTTAGTCTTCCCTCATCCCGAAATCTGCACCCAATACCAAGTTGTTCTAGAGCTTACATGAGCCATTTTGATTTGTTCCTGGACTCCCAGTATCAATCGGGAGCTGTTCAAGGACCCACAGCCAAGATAAACCGGTTCTTATCTGGAAACCCCTGCGCTCTTGCATGAATTAAGCGTCATATTGATGGAGCAAAACATGGGCCAGGTCGCTATCTAAAGTATTGATCGGGATCTGTCGTGCTTGCGAATGTATGGGGAAAAGCCTGGATGAAGCAGACGAATCTATTTTTCAAGCTGTTATGGCCTTCTTGTTCCTTACGTAGGTTTGGCGTTAGGGTCGCTCCTACTTGGTGCACTGGCCGGAAGGAGAAGACTTCTGTATTCTTAAAATAGGCGCCGAGCTACTAGCCGCCCTTTAACGATGGAATGAGAATGAAATGAGTAAGATGGATTGCCCTACCTGCCCCTTTACATTTTCGTTCCACAAGAACTTTGTTCTTTGCAGAGTTAGCACGTGGGACGAGGGAAAGGATAAATCTAGTTTCACGTGATCTAACTCTCCGCTCCACTACCTCTTTCTCGTAATGCCAAGCCATGTGCACTTCTTCGATAAGCACGATAAGCAATGCACCTGATCGGATGCTGTGTTGACAGTCTCAGTTTCTTCCTTTAATTCACATCAGACATATCTTCATCCTAATTTTGCATTCGTGTTCTAGATTGAAATTGGTATTGACATTGATATTGATTTCCAAGAATTGTTTATTATACCCTCATTGCAAGAAGCGCAGTTCCCTTCATCTCCTGATTCATCGACCTCACTGACCGCTGTCATTCTCCAGCTTGCATAAACATTATAGACAACCTCAAGTCATCATGGAATACAAAATGGAATACAAACAACCTTTACCAATGTTCTCCCAATCCATAACACCTCGCATCATCATTCATGGCGGTGCAGGTAATATTCTCCCCGCGAACCTTCCACCGGCGAAGTATAAGCTATATCACGACTCACTCCTTCGCATCATTTCCAACACTCACCATTTCCTCACGTCGCCATCCTCCTTTCCTCTTCACAAAACGTCCTCTTCTACCACCACAGCTCTCGATGCTGTCACCTATGCAGTTACGCAACTGGAAGATAACCCTTTGTTCAACAGTGGCCATGGTGCAGTTTTTACTCGTGATGGAATTAATGAACTGGAGGCATCGATAATGGTTTCAAGTGGGAAGAAGAAGAGAGGAGTAGGACTTATGGGATTACAACACGTCAAGAATCCAATAAAGCTTGCGCGCGAGATGTTGATACGAGGAGAACAAGACTTGGAGGGTGGAAATGGTGAACATCGAGGGCCGATGAGTGTTGAAGAGGACGCCTTTAGGCAAAGCCACGGAGCACAAGGACATTCACAGTTGCACAAATATTCAGCCGAAAAATTGGCAAAAGAATGGGGATTGGAGCTTGTAGATGAGAAATACTTTTTTGTACAAGCAAGGTGGGATGAACATATATCGGGGTTAAAGAAGGAGAAGGATAGAAATGGAAATGCATCTTGGGATGCTCAAGAATTTATACCCCAAGGAACTTGTGGGGCTGTGTGCCTTGATGCGGATGGGGTGCTGTGTGTAGGTACTAGTACTGGAGGTATGACAAATAAATTGACAGGTAGAATTGGGGATACGCCAACGCTTGGTGCTGGTTTTTGGGCAGAGGAGTGGGAGGATACATCAGCGGACGAGGATCTGCAACGACTTCAACGACTCCGTCGAAGAATGTACAACCAGCGTCCAATCATCGCCTTAGGTGATCAGCTGAAAGGTATTTTGGCAGATTGTTTCCCAGGCTTGAATTTAAGATCTTACAACCTGATTCACCAAGAAGCGCTGGAAGATGAAGCTATGATGTCCAGGAAACATATGAGGGCCACCGCTATGTCGGGAACCGGAAATGGTGATTCTTTCCTTCGCCTTGCAGCTGCAAGAAGTGCATCAGCGATTGCCCGATATCGTCCTGAGACTTCCCTTCAAGCCGCTATCGCAGAAGTAACTGGTCCCGGTGGAGATCTGGTGAAATCTGCAGGAGACCGATGGAAGAAGACAGGCGAAGGTGAAGGAGGTATGATTGGAATCGAGTTACAGGTTGTAGTTGATAACCTTGGCCGGAAGAGAGATGCAGTGAGTCATGTCGTTGCTGATTACAATTGCGGGGGTATGTTCCGCGCCGCTATCAATGAGAATGGAAAAGCTGTGATGAGAGTATGGAGACCAGGACAGTATAATGGCTTGGACATATATGCAGGTGAGGGAAGAGAGTATGAGGTCGCCGATTGGATTGATGCCAAATAAGGCTTGACAGAGTTAGTCCTCAGGAATAGTCTTATCAATAACTTACACGGATTCTGTAACCGATGCTCGTTTCACTAAGCTAGACAAATTTCGAAGGCCAGCCAGTTCTGACGGTTCATTCTCATGCGTCCTCCAGTGAGGGCTGGCAAAAGTGAAGTTAGATTTTTTTTAGCCAGGAAGCCCAATCCTGAACGATCCTCATTTGCAAAGCTGATCAAATTTCAAGAATAATTCGGATGACCAAATATTTCCCATACATACACTTTTACTCTCCTCTACGCTCCATTACTGTTGGTCTTCTTCTAAATGATTATGCCGAGCTCAACTAGCCGAATAGTTCCTTCTAAACATTCCTGTATTTATTATCGCTAACTGAACTCGTTTGTGTCCTGTGTTTTTATGGTTCCTCTACATAATCATGAGTAATTCGTATCGCTACCTCTCGCCTTTTACCTGTACACGGCAAATTCTGTTCAAGACTATGACCTGTCTTCCTTTAATTTCCCCAACCTTCTCTCGGACATTTTTGATCCTTGAGCCTTGTGGTTACCATGGAAAAAGTATCAGATATCCATTCTCTATCTTTGATAGAATCGACCATGGCTACCCCCCCCCCCCCCCCCCCCCCCCCCCCCCCCCTTTTTGGTTAGTGATTGGCCCCAAGAAATTTAGGTCAAAGGGACAATAATTAGAGTCACTCTTAGAATGTTGCGCGATTTCTTCACAAGAACATCTCATATAGAGGACCTATCTTTCACGGCACAACCTTTCCTTTTGATACAACGATATCGGGCTGGCAGCTATGTGCTAGCTTATTTGTTCGATACTCCGAACAAAGGTCATAGATAGGTTGTTCTGTCTAATGGTGAAGGGAAGTCCGTCAAGATTTATTTTGCAGTAGTCGAGATCATTTGCCTGCCATAGTGCTTCGGTATAAGCATCTAGACCCTTTTAGCCGTGCTAATTCTTCTCGCATAAAGGGTTGAGAAGGGAACACTCTTATTCTGCACGTTTCAAACAATATCACTTCCTCCACTGGTTATGCCAATAGAACTCGGATTGTTGAGACTTCTAAATTCTAATTTTATTTTCAACCCTGGTTCTTGAAGTTTTTGAAGTTCCATACTGGTCTCTGATTTCTCTGTTCCGTGTGGCAATATCATTGACAGCCTTGCTCCTTCTCTATACGCAAATTATCCACTGAATCCTATCCCGATCTTATGTGCTTGTCTGCTCGTTGATATCTCTACACTTCCAGATATTTTACCATTACACCCCCCCCCCCCCTGATAATTCGGTCGCTTATTCTTCATTTTAAACATAAAGTGGCGAGTCACTTATGCCAGCATTAAACTGCTCTTATCCAACTTAGCCAGTGCCCGCAGTACTCTTCGTGCTAGGGTAAGTTTGACAGGGGCTCTTTTGAGAGGGACTGCTATTCTAAACTGTAGAATCTACAGCTTTTCGCAAGGTTAAGCCATGGAACACTAGTTCTAGCTCAGGGTGACTCAATCAGCGCTGGAGGTGATTCCGTTCACACACCCTCGAAAATTGAGTTTTCTACTGTTGGGATCTATGGAATTTGACTCGATATCGAAAGGTCGGTCAGGTTGGTAACAACCCTCCTCTAACTTGATGAAATTTAACACTTTTGACGTCGTTTTCCAGCTGCGCGAATTGATCGAGTCCTGTAGTTTCAGATACCCCAGAATTCATATTCTCGTAGATGACCCAGGCCATCGAATCTAATTCACAATGCCTTTAACCCAATAGCGGTGGAGTGGACGAGTCCTACACTGCGAGTCAAGTAAAAAGAGATTATGTGATCCGTCACAAGCCTCCTTTCTGCCTCAAGATCTTTCGCCGCTTGTATTTATGAATCAATTTTGACGATTTCCTCTCGAGCTATGTCTATAATTAGATGCAGTTCTGACTCTTTAGATTGTATAGTCAATGCAATTCGTGTTAGCTAAACCTTTCGGTGTATAGAATAGGTTACACGACAAACAGCTCTTAGTGCTAGTGTAGGTTGTACTGGGGCATTGAATCGGGTCCGTTGATGAAGGCATCTTAGACCCGAATTGATGGCAAGAACTGATGACTTGAAGGTTTTTTCTCACACAGCGGGAAAAAAGTGGGCCGATACTTATATCACCGAAAAATGCAAGTTGGCTTCGAATTCAACCGCGATGAAAGGATGAAAGAATCTGGTTGATCATGACTCCTCAATTAATCACCCAACGGAATCTTTTGGCAAAAGTCGGGCATAATTAGCGAATATAGCTGCAAATCCATGAGTCGAATGATGGCTGATGCTGGCCGACATTCACACCCCCAGGTGATGCAGCCACTATTTCTCCTTCCTCTTGAACCTGTTTCTTTGTTTTGATCTTCTATGTACAAGGCTATTCATGAATATTTGCTTCATGAAGCTCACCCAACATTGCTTTCAATTCAATGATTATTTCATGAATCGCTTCAATTTCCCAAGTAATTGTCCCAGCATAACCTTCCATTCTGCCCATTGATCAACTTCTTCGATACTTTCTCATGCCTCATAGACGTGTATTTCAAGAAGCCGATGCGTAGGACGTTTTGCTTCTGGGTGAATACCCTGAGCCGCATGAGAAGCGGAATGAAAGAAGTAAGTACTCTAGGCGGGGTAAACGGAGTGCATGGTCTTCCATTTAAGGTACTAGTGACAAGATTCGTCTCTTGAATAGAGCTGTCATCCGTTTGTGAAGTCATTACTCCAGAGTTGTTAGATTGACACGTAAAACTTATAACGGTTCAAGTCTGGGCAATGAGAGAAAAAATTAGACGTGTCGTCAATCACTGAGCCGAATTTGGAGATGTGACACATTACATACCCTCATACTTTCTAGAAGTTTAAAGGCTAAGCAATATACATTTCTATTATTTCGTACAAAGTTCTACCTCTTTATAAAATCAACACGTCTCATGTTCGATGAGTTGTTTGACGTTCATTATGATCACTTTCACAGGGAGCATATCTCTCTGAATTTTGGGGGTACTCTAAATTTTCATGCCTCAAAGAGTTCCAGAGATCGAGTGGTGATGCACGAGATACTGCTTTGTATAGACAGAAGTGAAAAGCGAGGTTTTTGTTAGAGTGCAAACTTGTGCTACGAGACGTGCAATTTATGAGATTTTGTGAGATCCGCCGATCAACCCTGTGTTCATCTGGATTGGTTTCATTAAAAATAACTTGTGATGTTCTGTTCGTGAGTTTTTGAACGCAAGGGGTCGAAGGACATGTTCATAGTTCTCTACCTTCAATTTAAGAAAAGTGATGATTTCTACTTTGGTTGGCATGTTATCATAAAATGAAGTCGTTGAAAGGGTCCCTGATTAGAGAATGCTGTAGCTCTTAGTGAGTAGAGAATCAAAATTCATGATAATTTGAGTAACGTATAATAATATTGCTGGATAGGTAACAACGGTGACAGATCTTCTAATACTACAGCAAAGGCGACCAGATTGCTTCGAAACATAGTTATTGTCATTGCTATGATCAAACGGAATTCTCTCGAAATCGATCAAGCTAATCAGCGTTCAATTTCTTGAATACACAATCACTTTCCATCACGATACCCGTCGATATGGTCACAACTTCCAAGTCCATTTACATCAAAGCCAGACATCAATGAGCGTTCGGGTAGAAAGGCAAGCCAAGAGACACGGATCTGGAAACCATCGAGCATGTCTTGTGTCAAATTCTTTGATAGGTCGGGCTGTAATTTGATTGAGCAGCGGGCTGTATCCTTGGAGACCTAGTAATCATTTGAAGCTTGTGGTGCCGGTAGAATAACTATCCGCTTCTAGTTTGATGTCCTCAAGTTTCACCTGTTTCAACTGGGCTGCGCTGATAATTTGAGATCACGGGTAGCTTACCCCTCTTCCAAGATCACATTATATTAGCTTCAATGTTATCCAGTCAAATCTTTTGAAAGCACAATCTCAAAATTCGCCCAAAAGGCTGGTATCATTCGAACTAAAGTATAATGCTAAGCCAACTACCCTCCCACTCCTTCTACCCTCGAGACGTGACGACAATGCCTTCTCACACACTTCATTCACGTATGTATATGTTTTACTTTCCTTTCAGAACGCCATCATGATAATTTCATCTCATACAGCCCACCAAACAACATTCTATTTCCTTGGTAACTCCCTGAACACCTTCCTGAAGATCAGCCGGCTATTGTACAAATTATTAAGCCTAATTCTTTCGTTGTCTGTTCATTTCAATAATAATTAGCAAAGTTCTTGAAGATTATAAGTTTCCCAACCAAACCTTCAAATCCTTGCCAGCTGGTCAAGTTGAGGAAAAGACTTACCTAAATGCGCACTATCACTCGCTTGTCCACACGGTAAATGCGCCGCTGGCGCTCCAAACTCCTTTTCCAAGAATCGAATACTTGGGATCGAACCTCCTTCTCTGATATAGAGCGGCTTCCTCCCCATGCCTCTCACATTTCCACCACCCAATCCTTTTCCTTCTTTACTTTTACTAACTACCTTACCGCCTTCATCTCCGTACCCTTCATTTTCTTTCTCGTTGCAGCTGTTGGAAACATCTTCCGCGTCTAGCGTTAAGGATGCAAGATCTACCGGTGCGGCCGCTAAACTCGTATGATCGCTTCCACCAGTTAAACGCGTAGTTGTCGCAGGTGTGGGTTTGAGACTTGGCGATGCGCTGACGGGGCTCGCGGGTAAGTTTTCCTTCTCCTTCTCAACATATTTGGGACCTTGTACACTACTCCTTCTCGTATGGTCCGTAATCGGTCCCCAAACCTCCATGATAGCCTCTTCCAACGTCCTAAAAATCTCATTTTCGGGATCACCGAGCCAAGCATCTGCTTGGTTGTCAATTGTAATCGTGAGATTGTTATGTGTATCGAGCTTTGCGAAAGCATCTTGAAGAAATTTTGTCAAGGATTTAATAACATCGTCGACTTCCTGATTGGGAACCAAACGGAGGGAGATAGCTGCGCTCGCGTGGGACGAAACCAGAGAACCATCTGGCCCAGAAACTTTATAGCGATGAACAGTCAGATTTGGTTCTCTCCATCTAGCCATAATAGATTGTTTCAGAGTAGTGGCCGGTCCGAGTTCTGGATTACGACGGAGGAGGGTCGATACAATATCATCGTAACGAGCTTCTTCGGCTGGTGTGAGTGGAAGAATTTCATCATAAAATCCAGGGATTTGAATCCTGTTATGCAGCCCCTTTAGCTTTGCGAGGATAGCTGTCAAATCAAAAAGTGGTTCATCCATCATGAAACTTCCATCAACTCCACTATGGACATCGGGATGCTTGCTATTGACTTTAACAGTAGCATGAAGAACACCTCTGAGACCATATGTCAGGCAAGGAACTTCGTCATCGAGCCAATAACTATTGGCAAGAATGATATAATCAATATCCCCAATCAATTCCTTATACTTTCTCACAGCATCCTTAAAACCTCTTGATCCACTCTCTTCTTCTCCCTCAATCAAAAATGTAACATCAGAATCTAAAGCCTTCTCGTGAACCAAATCAACAACTCCATAAAGAGCAGCCATAATTGGACCTTTATTGTCACTTACACCTCTTCCATAGAGGTACCCATTTACCCCCTTCATTTGGAAAGGATCGATAATCCATTTCTTCTGCTTGTCATCCGCGGGAACAACATCATAGTGTCCATAAAACAAGATCTTCTTCCTCTTTGCAGCAGTCTCCGGATTTCCCTTGAACTTGGCGTAAACAATTGGGTTATGATGAGCTTCAGTTGTTAACATCTCAGTAACAGCTCCATGTTTTTTAAACAATGTTCTCAAAAAGGTAGCACCTCGTCGACAATCCTCGGCATGATCAGGACGTGCGGAAATCGTCTTGAAAGCCACAAAATCTTGCAGCGATTTGATAAGTTGGTCATCTTGAAGTGACTCGCGTTTTGGATATGTGCCCGTGTCACATCCAGTAACATCCCATATCGAAACTGAACAATCGTTCGCACCAGTTATGTAAAGTTGTTGACCATGATGGGTAGCAACTGCGGAAGCCAAAATTCTACCTCCGTGAGCTTTCCATCGTTTGACACACTGATATTTTTGACTGAAATTTGAGGAAGTTTTGTATTGACCGTATTGTACCGTGCTGTATTTCTGCAAAATGTTAGCCACTTGTACGAGACCACTGCACAGAAAACAGGAGAATCAAACTCACTCTAGCATGCCCGGTACTTCCACCACTCCAGAGATATCCCCACCCCATCTGCAGAGTCATAACATCCCCTCTATTTGCTCTGATAACTCTCAACTTCTGTCTCGTATCCAAATCCCACAACTCAATCACTCCCTCCAATTTGCTACTATAGAGAAAACTTCCGTCCACCGCCAAACTCAAAACGCTTTCCGCATCGTCTTCACCTAGTTTTTCAATCTCCTCGATCCCCTCGTCTTCATCCTTGCTCAATCTCCACAACTTAATTGTACCGTCCCCTCCGCCTGAAATTAGCATATCCTCATCCGTATCAACCTGCCTGGAGACTCCTCGAACCATGAGCATGCAATAGACATATCCAAAGTGAGCGTATTGTTTCATATGGGCCTTGTCAATCTCCAACATATCTCCCTGGTCCGCAGCGGCTCTTCCAGCCGGCCTCGGTCTTGGTGTGCTTGTCCCTCCATGTTGCACACTATCGAAAAATCGATGGTTCCTCCTATCTGGGTGACGTTCTGGATTTGGTGTAGGTCTCGTCGCGGAATCCCTCAGACTAACCCATTGTATACTCGTGTTTTGAGCGCCCAAATACACCGTTTCGAATTGCGGGGAATAGGCTACAGAAAATACGTCGCCGACATCGTAGGTACTGTAAATATGGTACTTGCGGACTAAAGTAGTAGGACACCATGCATTGACAATGGCATCACCAGCGGATGAGAACAAAAGTTTGCCATCTGCAGATAGGAATAGGGAGAGTACACTGCGGGTGTGTGCTTGGATGCGCGAAACAAGCTCGTAGGATGTGAGAGACCAAACAACTATTTCTCCATCTTGAGTGCCGGCATAAATATATTTTGAACCTACAGCAAGAGTGAGGATCGAGGAATCGTTTTCGAGGTGGTGAAGAAGTTGGGGCGATGAGGGATCGAGGTCATCTTCAGAACTGGTTCGTTGGCTAGGATCGTGGGACAATGAGTCAATTTGATAATTTTCGTCTTCAGTGCTACCTAGAAGATTGTTAGTTGTTGGCGAGGTAGAATTATCTGTGTGTGAAGATGTAGTTGTAGCTGAAGAATGAGTATTTGCGTTTCTTGAACCAAAGATTGAGGTCATCTTTTAGTTGATGATTGGAGGGGAAGGGGGGGGAAAGTAAGCAGAAGAATTGGAACTATTGCTAGGTTGATGAGCGTAAAGTAGTGACCGAGCGACCGACTGACCGACTGACCGACTAACCTCAGCCCGAATTTCCACCTCACAAACCAACCAAAAGTTTGCGATGAGAACATGATATGATGAATGCTTACAGGAAACATATGAAAGAAAATAAAATATATCAACTCACCATGACTTTCAACATCACTGTCTTCTTCCCTTTCCCAAGCTTCAATGGCTTCACGTTGTTGAATATCAATATCACTCTCACTAACACGCCTAATCTCCTGGGGATTATCCATAATTGAATTCATCCTCGCACAACAATTCCACCTCTCCAAATCCAAATCAATATCAGTGTCAATATTGAGATCAAGGTATCGATAGTATTGATCTGTATCCTTGTACTCGTACGTATTTTTATTTGTCGGTACACCTTCAATACTTTGCTTCTGTCCCGACGGTACATGTGTATCTTTTTCATATATTAGATTTGATGTTGAGTTCACGTTTCTGTCCTTCTTCCCGTCAATCGTGAAAAGGGAGGTTGCAATGAGGGAACCCATATTGTAAAGGAATTGTCTGATTGTATTTGATTTTCATTCAATCAAACTCAGTTAAATCACACAATTCAATGGGTAATTGGATAATGTTTTGGAAGGAGAATTGCGTAACTTTTAATCACTATTACGCCTTTGAAAGGTTACATGATAACTGAGACCGAACGCATATTCCTAAGAGGTACGTACCCTTCACTCTTAAGGGGTGACTTTACTTATATAGGAGTTTCTCATATATCAGCGCTTCGCTCCTTTACTTTTTCCCCTTTTCCCTTTCCCCTTCCAACCTTTACCCAAACTCTCCGCATCTCTTACCCTATATCTTGACTCATGTTGGTTGGTGTCTCCTAATAAGAAATTGGAAAAGCAATATTCAGTGGCTATCACTTGCCCGTGCCGCACGAGGGATCCATATCTATTCGACCTCACTGTTTCTCCTACGTCTTCTTTATTTGTACCCAATCTGTGTCATGCTTTGATGCTACACCGCATTATTAGTTCCTCGCCATACGTGTTGCCCGCATAAGTTAAGTGGTCATCATAACGTGTTAGTATCATTCAAGTGGTTGGTTTGGGTGCTACAAATTCAGTCTTGGGACGTGGCTGCCTGTCGCTGTGCTCCCCTCTTTGTAAAAGTTTCAATCATGATGTAACGTCGAGACACATTTCATTCTTGGCCAATCGTTTGTTCTTTGCGTTTTTGGCGACTGATGACTCAATCGATGTATGATAGAGTAGGGGAGTCAGTAAAGTCATGAAATGAGTGATCGAATATAGTCATTATCAATATTACTCTAGATTTGTAAGTATCCATGTATTTAATATAATCTGTTTGTCTTTCTCTCTTCCCCGTTTATCCATCCATAAAATTTCTTCATCACACCAACAAGTGCATAGCGAAACCAAGGAACTTCACTCAATCCAGCCGACACCGAAAATGCCCGCTAGAAAGAAAACATTCCGTCAAGGAGCTTCCTGCGAACCATATCACACGACCTTGTCTTTCCAAGAAGATCTACAGCCATCCTTCGGCCCATCCAGATCACCCCATCCAAGCCAACCTTGCCCTCCTCGACGCGTAGGCTCATGCTTTGGATTACAAAATCCAGATGGTGCATGCACTTGTTTCAGAGACTGTTCCGAACCGGGAGACTTTTCACATCCTAACAACATTTGTCCGCCACGACATATACAATCTTGTATTCGAAAGAAGCATCAAGATGATTTATACAATTTTCTTGGAGCGTGTGACGAAGAATCAGTGGCTGATGACGATGCTCCAGGAACACGCATTCCTATAGTAATTCCAAATGCCGTCAGAGACATGAATAATAAACGGTATTCACATAACCAAGTTCAAGATGATGTCCATTTCCCACTGCCAATCCGTACGAATCAGCGTTGGAAAGATCATCGTATCAATTAGAATGACAAGGGGGAAAATGTACTGCCGCCACCATCTTGCTCCTTATCCAGACCCCCCGATTGTCCACCTCAGGATTCTTTCTACAATAGCTTCAGTGATCAGATTGATCTACTGACCGAGATACATAGACTCCATGAACGAATTGATTCGCTGGAAAACAACATTCCGGGACATGTGAAAACGACGGCTTATTGTCGATGCAGTTGCCATAGGTCGACACGACCTAAGACGCCTCCGCCGGATAATTATTGGCATGAAAACGAGTCACAACTGTTTCCAGATCCAAGAAATGATTGGGATGAAAGTGGTGAGCCTGGTGTTTCTACTCCAGTGGTGTGAGCAAGGTACTCGGGGTGTTGAACATTCGCTGAGTGAGATTTTATCGGGCTTGAGGGGATTGAGTCCTAATACCATCTGTCATCTCCAAGTTCTTCTTGAACGCAATGTTGTTCTGGGCCTACCTCACGTTAATTGAGGAGAGATAAACCATTGTGGGCAGAGTGTCGACGTAAGATGAATGAGGTTAAAATAGTTTGATGCACATAGAATGAATAGCCGTGTTGTTTTAATCTCAGTCCACCCACCATATGTGATTCAAGCTCACGCCGATGCCTAACAATCAGAGTCCGTTCGCCATAGTCACATATCCAGGCTCTAGTACTCCAAATTCCATTCAAACCACCTCACTCATTTCTCTCTCCCTTGTCCTCATCTTTACCCGGCCATAGAACTTGCTTCAAAACCACAGCTCTAATATGCGCCGCAAAAACGAGCAACCAGACAATTACAAGAATAATCGTCAATCCACTTCCTACCCAAAGCACGCCCTCACTTTTGAAAGCCTTCCCGATATTGATGATAACAATAGTGAATCCCACATTTGGAAAAACGAAAGCATACCACACAAGATGGAAACTCATCTCTTTTGCGCCCGCCAAAACCGACACCATTGAAATGCAAAAGAACCAAAATGCTGTAGCCCATAAAAATACTGCAGCAGAGACTGCAATAATTCGGAATATGTCGGCAATGATATCTGGGTTCGTGATTGATGATATTGTAGTATACGCCGGGTAAATTTTGGAGAAGTTCTCACTCATGCCTAACAATGCCAACCCAGTAAAACTAGGTGGTCCAACTGCAATAAACATTCCCGGTCTCGTGTTGGGTTCTGGCAAGCCATTTGTCATCAATCTTCCAATATAAGGACCGTACATGAAGACCGCGACAAAGATTCCCAATCCTTGAAACGTAATTCCAGCAACCAGCATAGGAAGTGCATGTTCAGGAGTTTGTGACCCTGTTGTAACGGAAGCGAGGGTGCCGCAAAGCATAACGGGAAAGATAGGAAGAATCCAGGCGGGAGTCATGGACTGGAGTGTTTGTTGTTTGGCGGCAAAAAGATAGCAATATTGACCGACAGCACCAAAGAATGTGAGGGCCGTATAGATCCAGAATATGACTCGGAGGGCGGTGATAAGCCATGGGCCACAATGGGGAACGCCATATAATTGCGTGTTTGCAATTATACTCAACAATGAAATCCAAAATGTTGGGAAAAAGAGGGATTCGGTAGCATCTTGCAATGAGGCAGAAAATGCCTTTGGATATAATATAAACCGTGCCGAGATCCCAGAACATAAGAGAATGAAAAGAAATAAATCCAAGATGAAAACGATGTCCCCCAAGATAGTCAGGCCATTGAACTTGTGTGGTGTATTTGCGAGCAATAGAGCAATTCCTCCAGTACTCATAGTAAGAGTAAACCACGCCCATGTAAAATGATGAATCCTCTCTCGAAATGTGATTTTGCCATTGTTGGCAACTGTCAACTTTTCCTTCATGGCATGGGGAGTTCCGTCACTATCTTTGAAGATATTGTCGGTTTGTCCTTCGAGAGCACCTGTGGAGTATGTCCGAAGATTGTCATTCCGATTCGGACGTTGAGTTGCCATCGTGGCGGTTTATTCGATCTATACAGATGTGCCAGTATGTTGTGATGCTAATAATGATAGAAAGCTCATTCTCACTGCCAGAAGATGCAAGCTATGAGATGGAACTTACGATGGAGAGCAATAATATTCTCAGTCCAGATACATTAATGATCTGCAAGCATCTAGAGACATCGACAACTTGTCGTCATTCTTATGTATGTATTTGTCACAAAACACTTGCGGTATCGAGTTACTCTCAACCTACGGATTCAAGCAGAGTAAGAAAATGAAGAACAAAAAATAAAAATCACCTAATTGCACCGAGACCTTTCCGACGCTGACGTATGAAAAGACGGAGATATAACCGTGCGTTGGCAGCTGATTAATCTCCAGTCCTGCTCACGTGCTACTCTACTTGAGATCTGCATCATGATATTGGGTGCTTGAACATAATCTGGCCACTTCACTATTTTTATACTCGTGTATCTGTTATTCATACCTACCTAAGTAAGTGGAAGTTCGTTAGAGTCCAGGATCGATGTATCGGTTGGTTGACGGGTCTGTCTGTATTTATAGTCTTGGCTGGACGGGCCCATAGATCACACAACAGAAGTTGGTTTGGAAACACGACACTAGCAGAAGTGAGCAAAGAAGTACCCGGTACCTCTAGCTATTAGAGCGAGAGAGATACATATGATGTAATCATCGATCGAAGCATTAATAATGAATTCCAACTTTTTACATGAAATAACATCTTCTGGTTGGAAATAAATTGTAGAACAAATAATCAACTTAAATCATCAATCACGGGTCAATCACGGGATCAAAAGTACACGGAAAAAATTCTTCATGCTCTATCTTCTGATAGATTTTTCATAGATTTGATCTTGATTCTCAATTCTTCATCGCACAACGATCCCGATGAAAGAGAGTCCAGAATCCAGAATTCATCATCCAAAATTCCCTGTCCGTCTACAGACATTATACATTTCTTCTAGATTCCCACCCTACACAATGACGCCCTCACGAAGTAAAGCAGGAATAGAAACCCCAAAAAATCAAAAAGCCCAATTACACCCGATATTAAGTTTTCAATACACTCGTCCTACCTCCAACATTTTTAATACTCGTCGCCTCATAGCTAACATTGAACTCTGTCGTTTTTCTCACCCCCTCTCCCATTTCCTCCAAGATGAACTCTTCATCGCTATCCCTAGGCGCATCTGTTTTCGTCTTCCCAGTCACACCCCTGATCCTACTGTCTCTTGCACTGCCATCATGACTTGGAAGTGCGTTCTTGGTTCCATAATTATCTTTCGAGAAGTTCATGCCATATGCTGATGTTGTCGTTTTGTTGCGCATCAACCAGGGACAAAATTTTACTATGGGAGCTTTTAAGATGGGCAATGAAGCGCAGATTATGGAAACATTGACTTCGAGGAAAGTCCATGAGTTTGACGTCGCTTGATAATACATTGTGTCCGTCGCAGTAATGGCTGGTCCGACTGTGGCCATCCGAACGACGGTGCATGCAATGACACTATTGGACCTATTAGCTTGATAGTGTTCTGTAGGCAATTTACCTGTGAAAATACTGGTTGCTTACAAAAATCCAAGACTAAACATCAAGACCAATCCAAGCTTTTGACTTAACGGAAGTTGAAGTCGTCGAATTTGATAAATTGGCAAGAAGATAATTATCAAATCAGTTACTATTGCCATTACAGATGTGCTATACCAAACGTTTCCAATTTGTATACATGAACCAGGAAGAGCTTTATTCCACGATTTCTCGATGGGACTTAACAGTTTGATTAGAGAACATGCCACAAGATTGGTGTCGGACGAGAAGAGACGGCCACTTACTTGCATGACCAAATGGTGGCACTGACTGCTGCAATACTGTATACAATGACTATTCCAATGGTAACAAAAGTTGCGATTCTGAAATTCTTCGAGGGAAATATCCGTAGGTAAAAAAGACAGATACTGATTTTTGTGAAGCACGAAGCGATTTTGTATAGAAGTTGAGCAGCGAAGAACCACTTCAGAACATTAGTTGGTGCTAGAATAATTGAGAATGGATACATGAGGAAAAAACTTGAACTAACTTTAAGGGCCTCAATCTTGTGCTCTTTTGATACTTGCTAGGGGATGTTAATTATGAAAGCCATTGGTGGTGGTTCATGGATAGATAGATTCATACCGAGGTGTGCAGACCGAAACCATTCTTGGCTTCCATGTTGAACGTCACTGCCATGGCAAGTGCCATTAGCTATACGCGATTAGGTTCTGTAATCATTGCCACTTCGCGCTGTTGATGTCTCCTAATAATTCCAAGCTAAAACGGCCATAAAAGACTTATGCCATAACTCTCGGTTTCAAAAGCAGCGGAGAGCAGAAATCTGTACATACCAATGCCGGCACAATGAACCAATCATCTATCTCCAACTTTTGCAAAAACACTCTCGTCCCTAACCTCGCGCTGACAAAAAAGAAACTTAGACAAGCAAAGGCAATCGCCAAATTCGCAAGGTTTTTTCCCCTAGGATTTGGGATCCCATCGTCGATTGCATCTCTAGCTATTAGGTTATGGAGATCGAATTGAAGATGTGAAAGAAGTATCGTTGAAGAGCTAGTCAGATCAGTGAGAGGCATGATTTGACAAATTTTGACCGTGTCGAGACGCTTCTTCCTTAGCCAAACAATGAACAAGCAGAAGACGAGCGTAGGAGAGAGGGCAATGATAAACGAATATCCGCAAGATATTCTGGGCGATTTGAGATTCACAGTGCAGCACCTAAAAGCACTGTCTATCTATCGCTCCTCCGATTCAAAATCTGACACGAAATTTCACATTTAAAAATGGGTACAGGAGAAAGTAAAGCTTGATGATTACGAATAAGCAGCTCAACCATTCACTAAAGAGGTCCAGTGTGCCACATTACAAACTACTGCAAGCACCTACCTATATGAGTACCTGCATAATGATTTCTACGCACATTAATATCCACATTATCCCCTCAAACATGCCCCGGGGCAAGAAATCACCTTTCACGGAGTGTACGGAATATCTTCAAAAACTTCCTCGGGCGTCATCCGAATCAGTCATTTGCGCTTGAAGATCAGAGCTTGATCTATTCTTGCAAGGCTTGCTTGCACTCCTTGTTTGCCAAGTCAATGCTTCTGAACCACTTTACAACAGTGGGATCTCTTGCTCCTGGTATTTTCAATCCCAATCAGTATCTTAGGGCCGGTACTCTGAAGCACCCTTATTTCTCTTGGGCGCTTTATTAAAATTGTCTACCTTTGGATTTTCGTGGGGGATTGAATATAGGGATATAAGTCAATTGGGATCCCGCAATGAAAGATGTTGAAGCAATCTACTACCTGCCCCTGTCCATG